TTCACCTTGCCCTTTCCTTTCTCAGGTACCTCTCATGACTGGCGGCTGCGCTGTGATGCTGTGAACCTCTACTACACGTTGTTTGGTTTGACTCGACCATCCTGCCTACCCCTGCCAGAACTGGGCCTCGTGCTAAACCTGAAGGAGAAGAAAGCTGTCCTGAACCCCACCATCAAGCCTGAGCTGGGCGTTGGTGCTGTTATGGACACAGCTGCCAGTATAGGCATCCACGGTGTCGGCATGAGCTACGCAGCTGTAAGTGTTGTGTCAGGACAGTTAGTTTAGTGTAAACACAAAATGCACTTTATGATCTACTGACTGAACTAAATTTAAAGTGATGTCTTGACAGATCCCATGAGTGTATTTCAGACACTGACCATAACTTGTGTAGTTTCAGCCAGCAAACACGTTAGTTAAAGACATACTACATCATTGGTTTCTTTGCTAATGGTGATGTAATGGGTGAGCTCCTCGGTGGTCTTTATTTCCCTCTGTTCTGAATGTCTCTGATTTACGAGTGCAACATAAACATTTTCAGATGGCACACAGATAGTAGCCACTTTGTAAAAACTTTGTTATCTTAGGTTGGATCTGTATAATTATGGCTACTATAGTGCTGCCAACAGTATTTGGCCATACCTCATTCCCATTGCATCACCTTTGCACCCAGAATCACTTTTAAAGGAAAACTTTGTTTTTTGTTTTTTTTAGCTTGACCCTATTTTCCCAAGTTTCTTTGTGTCTACCTGATTAACAGAGACAGCAATTGTTGAAACTGGTCCAGTATTGAGAGAGTGCTGCAGCTGCAGTGGCCAAACAGACTGCAATGTAATCACTATGGGCAATTGTGCAATGTCAAATTACATCCACTAAAGTGCTTGTTTTTGCCACTGACCGGCTCAGATTGTTATTATAAGTGTCTGACAACATTATGGAAAGAACCCTTCAGAAAAATGTAACATTTTCTTTACCTTTCACTGATCTGTTCTGTTAGTGTGTGTAACCAAGTCTCACTCAAGGAAAAGTCTCGTTCAGAGATCTAGTAGACTTTTCCACATTGTTGGAATCAACAAAAGATTTAGCTATGACATCGATATTCTTTTAGGCAACACTAAGCTAAGCTTTCTGTATTTCAACACAACAGACTCTTCCCAGCCCTGTGCGAACTTGACATTCGAGGCCCTGTTCATTAACATGCAAGCACAGAAATCACGCACAGTCGCATAGCTACTACTACTGCTCTGGCCTCCGATGTCTATGCTGCTCGTATCACCGCTGTGTCAGTCCAAGAAAGACATTCTCCGTCCCAGAGAGGAGGGAAGGAGGGGACAGAACACTGATCAAGGAGAGTTGGAGGGTAGAGGGGAGGAAAGGGGAACAAATGTTGGTCAAGTGCAGTTCCTGTGGTCCCTGGTCATTGACATTTGTGTATTTCATTATTACACTGTTTGCTCAGAGAGCTGTGTTTTTGGGAGAGTTTAGGGTGTGTATGGTGGTATGCAACAGTCATTTGTAAAACTGGTGGTGCCTAGAATGTCAATATGTTACATTACAGACAGGAGGAGGCAGTGGGAGCACTTAAGCCTATATATAAATCATTCTACTTCATAGCAGAGTTTTGCTGTTGAACAAAAGCATGGGGTCAACAATGGTCATAAAAAACCTTTTGTCCACCAGTGATCAGCCTAAGTTAGTTCTAAGAGGCTGAGGCAGAGGCCATAATATAAATGTTTAAACTTTTATTAAAAAACAAGACAAACAAGGAAGCCACACAACTACATGTTAAAGTTTGTTTGTGTCTTCCAGGTGGATGAAGAGCCAGATCCTATTTCACTGGGGGTGTGCGGGGTGGGCCAGCCCCCTCAGGGCCTGAAGAGGAAGGCTGAGACCCCTCTGGGCTCCCCTCCAGAGCCAGGACAGGTACTGCAGCAGCAGGACGATGATGGAAGAGGAGGGCGCTTCAAGATCAGGGTAACTCATCTCTGCTCCTGCGCTTTGCATGGGACTGCCCACATACATGGGACCGTCTTTCGTACTCTGTTTGTCTCTTGTTTCATTCAGGCTATGTGCTTCTGTCTTACTTACATCTGGGATATTCTGTCACAATATTATCTCTTTAAAGACTCTGAAATATTGATGATCTGTTATTGGTGTTAATCTGCAGTTCAACACAATGGAAGACGAAGATATTGATATGGAGACGGTTCATGATAGTCAGGCCTTCATTCACCATCATCTCAACCTGTTAGAAAGACCCTCTACTCCAGGTGAGTATATACACACGCACACACACACACACACACACACACACACACACACACACACACACATTTCTTACATCATTCTGAAAAATAAATAAAAATACACATGACCTGGTAACACACACCCACACCTGTCCTCTTTCTCTCCGTAGGTAAAGAGCCACCGTCAGTCGAACAGTCCATGCTCTCCATGCCTGCCACACCCATGCCGTCCTTCTCCAAAGAGACCACCTGCTCGTCCTCCAAACACAGCGGCGAACATGGCCACCACCATCACCACCACCACCATGAGCACAAGAAAAAGAAGAAGAAGCACAAGCACAAACACAAGCATAAGCACAAACATGAAAGCAAGGACAAGGAGAAGGACAGAGAGAGGGACAACTCCCACGCCTACAGCAACAGCCCGGCCAGTGGCAGGTCCCTGCGCTCACCCTCTCTGTCTGACTGAACATCTAGAGGAGAGTTTGCTTTTGGTACAGTCAGGGTAACATCCACCTAGCAGCAGGCTTGCAACCCTGTGAGCATGGAGACACAAAGTGGCAAAACATATTTAGTTCCAAACATTCATTGCACAGTAGTATTATCATACTGGGAGACTGTAATTGTAATCCTCAGATAACGGCAGCAGTCGATTCCTCAGCAGAAACAGCAGACCGTGTTGGCTTCTGAGAAGAAACAGAATTTTGAACTGAGGCTGCAGTGTCATTAAAGGAAACCCTCCTGAGGCGTCCTTGTATCCTCACACACCGCACACACAGCCTGCAGGAGTTTGTGGACTTTTGACACCGCTTCCAATCTGTCTGAGGCATGCAACCACATACACCTCTCTCCACAAGCAGGCACATACAGTCCCAGCCAACCTCAGACAGCCCCCCCATAGACACCACTCTGGTGCGCCTCATCCCCACAGCTCAATTCCAGCATTCAATGAGTGGCTTCTGAGGGGGTGTATGATTGATTGTGGTGTGGATCAAACCATTCTGTGTGGACTGGGCCTCCGGTGTCTTTAACATCCTGCAAATGACATTTCCCTGTTTGCTCACAGATGGAAATTAAACAGAGGAATTTCCTGTGCAGTTTATACTGTACAATTGAAACTCAAGTAATACTAGTGTTTTAAAAAAATATATATATAATTTTTTGTTTCCCCTCTGTCATCATTGACAATAAAAGATACATTTTGTGTTCATGAATGTTTTAACTAGATTGAATCCAGCTCCACAGAGGCAATTATGGCTGGGTTTTCTCTGGCACTGTATCCCTTTGTTTGATTAGGTGGTTTTAAACAATGAAAAGAGCATGCAGAATTCAACATGCCCCATTTAGATAACCAGAGGGGTCAAGTGTTAAAAAACGGTTTTCCTATTCAATCCGCCTCCCAAGTCCATCTTGCCTTTCCTAAGTAAAACAATAAAAGACACAATCAGAACATTCATGTTAAGGCTCTTGACTCTGCTTAAATAGTCCCTGTCAGCATTTATTCCCATTAGTACTTGTTATCCTGTGATCTCCAGTGTGATGTGAGATTGCCCCTGATGGTTGTGGATTCCCTTCTTGGGATTACAAACTGTTGATCAGGTGTTTTAAATACAAGGTTGATTCTTTGTTAAACACAATAATGTGCTCAAAGCTGTAACACAATATTGATTTCACAAATGTACCGACCAACATGTAGAGGAAAGAGAAATAACAGTTTGAGTAGCTTTTACAAGCGCTATGGAAAATTAAAGATGCTTCACTTAGGAACATGAGCCTAATGTTTTCTACATTGTAATTTTTGTTAACTGTTGATTTAATGCTTTTTTAAATAAACTGAATACAATTAGCAGTTTCTTAAAATGTTTGTGCTAAAAGCAAAACGTATTGATGCCTTTGTGAAAAATTGGCTGCAGCAACTTGTGAGCTACATGGAAGACTAATAATTTTTGTGTGTCCATGGTTAGATTGTGTTTGTCACTTGTCTCTTATCTCATTTAATCTTAGATAAAAAAGGAACCCCAGCACCAGTATTCCTCTTGAAGAAATCCCTCTATCAATAAAAGAAAGGGTAAGGACTGAGGACATAATGTCTCACTGACAGCAGAGACTCTGTTTTAAGCTGTTTGTTTGTTCTACCTTTATAAATTTACTTCATTAGTATTCTTTCATATTATTTTATAAGGGTAATTTTAGCATTGATTCAAACAAATATGCTCCTCACAGATACAGTAGGCTACATCAGGCACTTGCCAAAGGACACTGGGTGTCTGATGGTTATTAAAGTGCTGGTATAAAGGCATTTAATTCATTTTACTGGCGGGTAGCTGAAGTGTGGGAGTACGCAAGTCGGAAACCAAAGACAGTGAATGGCATATATGATGGCTACATTACATGTGTAAAGATGCTGCTTTGTGCGTATTTGTCTTGCGCAAGCGCCTTCTTATCCAGAGTTCACCCGCTTTGATTTTAATGAGACGTTGCATCGCAGTTATCACTGTGGAAACTGTGGCAGATCTGAGGAGCTGGTAAATCTCTGCTCCTGGCCCGAGCTGCGAACTGCATTCCCCCCACTCATCTTTCCCTCTTTGCTCTCCCCGTATCATCTGAATCGTGGCTGAGCAGAGCCCTCCTCCAACCCAACACCAATAAGAGTCCTGTCCGCTCTTTTCAGTCACCTCCCCCCTCCCTGCCTCCTCCCTCCTGCTCTCTTCAACGGTCCTCCTCTCCGGTGGTCCTTCGGTTTCGGAGTCAGCATCACTCACTCTCCGACCTACTTCACAGGACTCTACGCTCAGCCCGACAGAGGAACATGTTGCTTCACAAACTGGTACGGTAAGACTCCATGTCTACAAGTTTTAGCTTTAGTTCGCTCCAGCGTACTGACATCACTGTGCGTAAATCCGTGCGTAATTACGCGTTCATTTGACCGTATATGTTTGGTAGTTTGCGTTGTTCATTGTGGCTGAAAGGGCATATTCCTGTTTTTTTCCCTAGCTTTTGTAAGAATACTCTTCTTTCCGCTTTCATTTCCGCTGCTAAGCATTTGCACAACAACTGTAGATCCGCCAATCCATCAAAGGCGATTGTTATGCGGATGCGGGTGGTCCGTATTCACTTTGAACTAAACTCCACACCATCTTGTTAGGTCATCGACAAAATACTTTAGTATGACCTGTGTTCGACCAATTACAATAAAGGAAGAGAATGTGAAGCTGTGATTTGGTCTGTCCACATTTTTTGGCTTTAATGCTTCACAAAAAAATTGAAAATATAAAGTTGAGAATTCATTATAGAGCAGCCAGTGCTCCACAAAAGGCTCAGCCTCCAGGACTGTTTATTTTTTTAATATAGCAAATAAGGAGAGAAATACAACACATTTTGAAGCATTTAGCAATAATCACAGCAAATGTAAAGCCAAGCAAAACACACAAAAAGTGTGTGTCATTTGCAGGGAAGAACTGACTTCTACTTTTTAAGAAGTATATAGTCTGATGAGAGGCTGTTGTGTCTGTCATTTCTGTTTTGTTGTTGACTCTCTAATGGAAAATAGACCTCATGAGCTTTGATTAGTTCATGCAGCAGTTATATAAATGGCTAATGTCAGATGTGTTGTCGTTGTCTCAGCTTGTTTGGATCCTGTCAGTCGTGTGTGGCACTGATGTGTGCTCAGGATTTGTCTACGACCGGCCCAGACGCTCAGGAGAGGACGGGACGTCAGCCAGGACAGAGTGTGAGTACGCTGGCCTTGTTACAGGAAACATAGAGAACATCTTTGAACTGCTTGACCCTAAGCTGGCAAGCACTCACACAACTGAGGTGGCCTTGAAAAAAAAAGGACTGAATCTCTCCCACCCTTAGGGTGGCTGTTTTTGACCGATGGCTTCCATGTGGATAACAGGCAGGAGAAAAAAATCCTACAAAAATCAGTAAGTGAGTAGAGCGCCTGGACTGTCTGTCAGATTATGGAAAGATTTCACAGAGTCAAGTGGGAACATGGGAATCTGTCCTTTTTCTTTGGTGTGATATCATTTGAGCAGAAAGAGTATTTCCTTTTATACAGGAATGCCTTATGTGATATACCTCAGTGGCTCAAGACCCATCAATACAATGAAATGTGTACTTGTGACTCCTGATCACAGGGTGCTTCTGTCTGAGCTGTGGGGAGTTGAACTAAACAGTGATTTCCTCTGAAAGGCTGTAACCATTGTAATCATTTCTAGAGCTCTGAAACTGCACATGATAAAAAGCAATGTCAACAATAGTGTAAAAAGCCCATTCCAGTTTCCTAAAGTCCAAGATGACAGCTTCAGATTACTTATTTTGTTCAACTAACGTGTCCAAAACGCAAAGATATTTGGTTTAATACCATGTAAGACTTTTGTAATTGAATATCTTTGGGTTTGGTACTGTTTGGGATAAGATAGGACATTGGCCTCAAAGAAACTGTAATAGACAAACTTTCACAATTTTCTGCCATTTTATGTGCTAACAGATTAATCTGAAAACAAACTATGATAAATCAGTGATGAAAATAATTGTTAATTGCAGCCCTGCATCTCCACACTACAAGCACTGTGTGTCTAATCAGCAAGTACAATGCAACTGTGCATTAAGCTCATGTGAAAGCCTCTCAGAACTGTGTTCAGCAAACCAGAGAAAAAGTCACACACTTTAATTCCGTTGCCAAAGTGGCTCGGCACAGGCGCAGCAAAGTGTATTTTGGATCTGCATTAATGTATCTTGGCCAAGTGTGGGTAGGACATGCCTAAAGCTACGCTCCAAGTCCAAGACACACGCAGAAAACAACTTCTGAGTTTTTTTTAGAGCAGAGTAAATCTTGAACCCTATGTGAGCTTCAAGTGCAGTCAGTCACCCTAGTTAGCCGGAGTGACACACGTCCACCCCCGGCTGTCTCCCAGATCACTCCCCTAATGAACAACATGCAATTAGATGAGAACTAACTTTCCACATCAGCAACTGCAGCTCCAGAGGAATGTCTCCTGCTCACTTTATTTGCTGGGTTACATTCTATATGAAGTGTCTGCCAGTGCATATGCAATGAGCGAGCAGAGAGTATATGATGGTGGTGGTGGTGGTGGTGGGTAGGTGGAGGCTACAACGGATCACTGTGACCCTGCGAGGTTGGGATTGGGCAGCCCGCGTGTTTTTTTGAAGAGAGAGAGTGTGTTTGTGTTGCTCTACCTTGAGTCAATATTAAGAGAGCATTGGAGCTCATTTTCTGCTCCACATTCTCAAACCCTGTCGGCATGAGGAGGCAGAGTTTGCTTCACTGTGCCGAAGATTGTCATAGCAACAGGTGGCGGCTACAGTCTGTGCTGGAATTTTGTTGCTGTATGTTTTTGCAGCATTTTTGCATCAGAAGAATTTGGGGAAAAATGCATTTGTGGACACCATGAGTGTACATTTACAAGAAAATCAAAACACATGGCACAAATGTTCTTCAATATACCACACTTTATTTACCAAAGGTTTACGGTTATCTTGATCTTCATCAGGCTGGTATCTCAAGTTGTTTACAGCTTCATAACAGTTCATCAGTTCGTCATTAGACTGAATCAGTGAGTAAACAAGTTGAAGCTCCAATTTTCATAAAAAAATGGGAAAAAAATTCTTTACTCTGTCAACTTAATTTTTCAAATCACAATATACTATTTTATAATTCAAATTTTTGCTTAATTTTATAGAAAAATATCTAATGACAATAAAACAAATCAACACAGAACACAGGGGGGTAACCGAACAGACACTGATATAGGAGTGTAGGAGTGTGAGGCTCTTTCTAACATCTTAGAATCAGCTGGGCACAACTTACTAAGCCAGTTATTAGTGCTCTGAATGCAAATTTAATCAACCGTAATAGTTTTGTCCCAGAGGAGACATAATTTGGTCATCTGGGCAGCTCACATGCTAACCATTCATCTATGTACCCTTGGACATTCCCGTTGTGCATGCATGTATGTACCTTGTTCTATTTTACATTTCCAACATAAATTGTCTTTAATTGGACCCACTGTATTGAGTCCTATAGGGGGTTAGTTAAATAATAATAATATCTATAAGGTATTTCATATTGAATTAATTTGGTTCTGGCTTATGTACAGCGGTGCCCCCAAAGGGGAGCCATACAATTGCTGCTCCCGCGCTCCGTCGAAAATAAGTGAAGGCTGATATTACGGCACACTCTTTTTTTATGCCTCTGTGCTAGTGATAGCTGTGGCCGGAGGCATTATCTGTTCAGGTTGTCTGTCTGTCCGTCCGTCCGTCCATCCGTCTGTCCATCCATTCATCAGCCCATCAGTACACATTTCTTTAAATTCGGCACAGATGTTCACTTGGACCCAGTGATGAACTGAGTAGATTTTGGTGGTCAAAGGTCGAAGATCAAGGTCACTGTGTCTTTGAATCCGTCTCATTCTCATGAACGGGGTATCTCAAAAACACCTTGAATGGATTTCTTCAAATTTGGCACAAACATCCACTATGAGTCAAGGATGAACTTCGTTGTCATAGATGCTGTGAAGCATCCATGTTTTCACAGACACAAACAGTAATTGCAACTAGACAGGTTTGTGGAGGCATACACCCGTAAGGTGGTAATTCTTGTTTAAGCTGTGAAACTAGACAACCCAAGGCATTTGTTAATATCAGCTATGTCGGTATAGTTTGCTGGAGAGGGGATTCATAACGCTCCAAAGTTAAGAAAATTTTTGCAAGGTAACAACTGGCATGGCCATTTTCAAATCGGTTCCTTGAACTCTCAGCTTTGGATATGTGAATGAAATGGGTTCTGTGGGTACCCACGAGTCTCCCCTGAATCTGAGTAAGCTTGTTTTCAGTAAATGCTTTGGTCCTTATCATCAGTGTACTCCTTCAAATTAAAGCTCTATATTTGATGTGTTAAGTAAAAGGACACCCAGCTTAATGAAAGAACAATGAAGTGCCTAACATGTAAAGATACATAACATATTAAAAGCAAATTCCTGAAATTCAGTTATGGCTTTAGGTTTTAGTGTGCCACCTCAAGCTTTTTAGTGGCCCAACCTGGCCACCCCATGACAAATTTTTGGGGGCCCCACTGCTTCTCTGATATATTAAGAATTGTTGAAAAGGATCCTTTCCCATGTTTCTTCATCAAACTACAACACAGGACTAACCACTGTTATTTACCCAAAGACACATCTCATGCCACTTTGATGCTTTATGAAACATTATTAGTAGCTGTAGGAAGCACTCTATTGTTTTTTTCTTTCTTGATGGAGACAAACATCCCCTTTAATATAGTGTCCAATTTGAAAATATTTCCAAAGATGGCCATAATGCCCCAGATTTTTCTTGTTCTGTTATAGGAAAGGAATTTGCCGTATTTGGTCATTCAAAACACATACTCAGATCTCTTCCATTTCGGATCACTACTTGATAACCCAGCCCTGGGGCAGGGATGTCATTTGACACATCACAGTTCTTCATATTCATCTGCCTGAATCTGGACATTTTCAATAACTCACCTCATGAAGTTTGTTACTTGAACAAAGTCAAAAATTCAAACTCACCAGATGGCAAGCAATCTGCCTCAGTCAGTCTTTGTCAGTGTAAGTTTTTTATAGCAGGATTTACTTACTCTGATCAGAAAGCTCTCTGCTATTTAAACAGATGAAACCAACCAGCCTATTGTGGCAGCACCAAGCACACTGCTGCCGACAGTTTCCCTTCAGAGATCAATACAGTATTTCTGATCATTAGCAGCACACCAGTCGGGGTGAGGAAGAAATCCTGCACCACCTTTGACTTTTACCTGGTTTGTCTTGACTTAAATGGAACAGGCCATTCTCAGTGGAGAACATAGGCCCTTTTCACAGAAATGAATGATGGCCACATTCCATTTATCTGTTTTATTTTAAGGATCCTACTATTGTTCACGCTGGCTCAATGTGTCACTGTCATGACTTGCTGGGATACTTGAATAGAACGTTCAAGTACGTTCTTGTGGCAATGTAATCACTGCCTGGATTATGCGAACAGAGAACATTTCTGTCAGGTAATAACTCTGCATTCATGTACCACGTAGGCTTCGGAGGGAGTTGGTTGGGGAGGATGGCGGGTGTACAAAGTGCAGAACCTTGGCACTAGATCTTCAGGTTCACAACCAGATTCCTTTCTTAGGTTTAGGCAACAAAAGGAATTTGGTTAAGGTTAGAGAATGTCAATTAACAACGTTTCCTTATTATGTCAATAGAAAACGGAACTTGGTTGGCATAACGTTTCCCTCAAAAGGTATTTTGTTGTATAGAATCCGAATTTCTAGGAGACAGGGCTGGTCAACGTGATGTTGGCATGAGACGTTTGGAAGACGCCAGATTTAGATTACTTAACAGCACAACTCAAAAACAGCAAAATATCAAACGTCATTTGCTGTTAATATTCTATAACAAACTGACGTTGGCATTAGGTATTCTCCTGACATTGAATTACTATAACAATTATCTTCTAGATGTATTGTATTTATCACTAACAAGAACAAGCGCTAAAGAAAAATCAACACAAATAAACAACTTAGCCAACAAACAATAATAATAAATAAACAATAAGAGAATATGTTATGTGCAGATTTTGTCTTCTTGTTTTTGTTCTGCGCCCCGGATGGCTTTGCCCAATTGAGGCTGAGAAATGAAGCCAATGAGGAAGTGCCAAAAACTGCAGTTCCTTGAATGGCCACTTGAGGCTGGCTCCAGAAGCCAGTTACTCCCCATAGACCCACATGTTAAAATGCCTAACTTTACAGCATAAATAAACATATTTACAGCCACAGCTCCAACTGTCCATCCAAATAAAAAATAAAATAAAATAAGATTTTCTTCTTCCTACTCCTTTTCGGTCATGGAATATGTTTTAGTTGATAGCTGTTTGTTACCTCTGGCTCCAAAAAAAACAAAAACATGATGGCAACAGCCGAAATGCCGAATTGAGGGCTTCAAAACAGCAGTCCACAAACCATGATGTGGCATCATGATAGCTACGTCCATTATTTACGCAGTCTATGCTTTTGCCTTGTCATTTTCTCTTACCCTAATACTCTCCGCACACACTCCACTCCGCCATTTCCCTTATTCTGTTTCTCCAAATAAATGTATTCACGAGCAGAGCTCAAGTTGGCTCCATGAGTGTGAACTTGAGATAGCTTACAGATAGCTTACTGAAAGAGGCCAAGACAGAGACATTGTATGTGCTCTAGCAGGTTGAAATAAAAAGACATCCACAGTGTTCACCTTTGACCTGCAGTCCACACTCATTACCACAGAGCCAGAGTGAGTCTTATAGCAAAGAGGGTATTGCTGCTGTACCACGCTCTGAGTCTCCACTACTGTGCCAGCTAGCTGGGCAGCATAAATAATTTGAAGTGTAACACCTCAGTTCCTTCACATAGAGTACATTGGCACATGCACGTGTACTTGCAAAAACACACACCCGCACATACAGTATGTCCACACAGAAGCACACAAATGTGTGTTGAAGAACTCCTGTTGGCGTCCTCTGGTTTTCTCTGTGAGTAAGGTTGTTTTTTTCACAAGTTGGAGGACAAGGAGCACGTTGTTAGAAATGTGGCAATAAGTTCACTCTCAGATCTCCAGGATGTCTTCAGTTAAGCCAGGGGGTTCTTACAATGTGGGTTGGGTTCCATACGGGGCCACCGTCCTTTGGGACCTGAGTGGAAAAGAGCATTATTGTGTTTCAGTTAAACCTGTCCCCACAGTGAGATAGAATTACCACAGTTTGGGTCCCAGAAGATGTTTTAAAGTTTAGTAGGCTAACTGTTCAGTTTGCCACATGGCTTACAGACCTTTGATCACACATATTAGAAGTTATTATCAATTATTATTCAATAAATTGAATTGTTTATTGTTAATTTTTAGTTTGCCAACCACATGTTGTTTTTGACCAAGCAGTATATTGTAGTCATACAGTATCTATGACTGCAGGTTGACTTTAAAGACATTTGGACAGTGCAGCCATTCATTAACTTTTTGGACAATATACAGTATTGTGTTATTGCCCCCACTGGCCAAGTGCCAAAATGTCCTCCCAGCTCACTCTTAATGTTTTGGAACTGTGAAAAGGTGTTGAGCTCAACGACAGTGGTATTTGTGGAACCAAAAACCACAAATACCAAAAATCAGGGACTGTAGTTTAAAGTCACAGTGAACGTGTGCCTCTGACCCATGATATCTCTCTTCTAATGTGATTCACAAGCTATGAAAGTCAAGTGTGCTTTTTAGTTTTGTCAGGTGCTACAAACAAAAAACTAACTAAAATAAATTAATAGCATAAATTAAAAAGCATTTCAATAGAGTATGAATCAGCTCCATACCATTTCACTATTGCAGAAAAAGATGGCCTATGGCTCTGACATGTCTAAGAGATTTATAATCATTGATGATACATCAAACAAAGGGCCTAAAGGGAAAGTTCAAATAAAAAAAAACATATTTTCTCTCTTACCTGTAGTACTATTTATCAATCTGGATTGTTTTGGTGTGAGTTGCAGAGTGTTGGAGATATCAGCTGTAGAGTTGTCTACCTTCTCTCCAATAAAATAGAACTAGATGGCACTCAGCTTGTGGTGCTCAAAGCGCCAAACAATACATTTAAAAAAACTCAACTGACAGGTCTCTCTCTAGAAATCATGACCCAGATTCTCGAGGTAATCCACTGACCTTGTTGTGAGCGGTATCATGTGGGAACTGTTTCTTCCTACTGAATTACACCTGTATCACCATGCAGAAGGAAGTGTGCATCTACTAAGTGTTGGGCAGCAGTGTCACTACAAGTAGCAACTTTACTTACTTAACAAATTTCTCAGTAGCGTGGTGTTAACGTCACTATTTTCTGAGTCAAATAGTTTTTCAGTAGTGAAGTTGATTAGTTAATTGAGTACTGCGGTTGCGTCTACAAAAGTTGCAAACCCTTTTTCCTAGGAAATGCTCTGAAATGCAGCAGACTTTTTTTCTGCGGAGGTCCGGATAAAATAAGGATAATGAAACTAAGGACAAGTAATGTGACTGATACCAGCGCCACACCGAGGCATGTAGACGAGGGGAGCATTTACATATGACATCACACACTAATCTTTCAGTAAATGGCATTTCTTTGTAGGACCCATCCCACTCTGTCTGTGATTGGCTACATTGCACTTATTGACGCGTCTCTCGAGTCTTGCCCATAGACTGTATATATTTGGTGGATTTGCAGTGGACACTAGAGAAATAGACACAACAAGCACAGAGAAAACAGCTGAGAGACAGAGAACAGAATTAAGTAGGAAGAGAGGAGACATATTGATGTCACATGTTATTTGCAGGACATGTTCATGTTCTAATGTCCCGAATGAAGAAAAGTTTTAATTTAGGTCTGTTATTTTTATTGTTTATATTACTGTCTATTATTTATCATGGTTTTATTAGACAGATAGCTTACTGAAAGAGGCCAAGACAGAGAAATGCATTAAGTCAGAAGAGGAGAGAAAAAGAGAGAGAGCAATAAGCCGACTGATGTCGTGTTATTGGAGGACATGTTCAAATGTCAGGCAGTCTTTGAAGTAAAAAAAAACAAACAAAAAAAACAGAAGAAAGTTTTAATTTAAGTCTGTTATTTCATAATAGACAGTTCAACTGAACATTTTTGCCTGCCTATTCGTTTGATTATCACTGAGAAAAGGCTTTGCAAGTGGCAAGCTACTTTTGCCATTTTTACGTAGCTTAGCTTGCTACATTTCTCTGGGGATAGCTTCAATGTAGTGACACTATATTATGTTCACTACATTTTCCAAGTAGCTTGCCCAACACTGCTTCTACTGCTAGCTCACCTAGCACCACTGAGCTAGCTAACATTACAGCTCAGCCAAGTAGGACACCACTGATGTTTATATCTCTGTCTCTGTCACAAGCATGAGCCTCTCTGCAGATATAATTCGGTAAAGGAAAATAGTTCCGACATTAAACTGCTCACAACAAGGTCTGTGGATTATCTTGAGTAACCGGGTCATGATTTCTGGAAAGAGACATTGCTGTTGAGTTTTTTTAAATTTCTTTTTTTTTTGCTGCTTTGAGCACCACAAGCTGAGTGCCATCTAGTTCCATCATATTGTAATGACGGCAGACATCTGTACTGCGGATATCTCCAAGATTCAACAACTCCCACCAAAACAATCTAAATTCATAGATAGCAGCACAGTTAAGAGGGAAAATATGCATTTTGGATTTTGGGGTGAACTGTCCCTTTAACTATCATTCCGATACCTGACAACACTGGTGGTTGTATATAATAAGAGTTGCCTCAAATTACATTTGACTAGAAACACATAATATTTAAACCTTTAAAATATTTTTGACATCTATTTGGTCCACTTTAGCAACTCTACTGATGCAGCCAGGGAATCATTTCTGTATGTCAGTGTTCAGTTTTCACATGTGTACCAGCTGTGTTTGGAGACAATACAGCCCACAGCAGGAAATCCAAATAACATCAAAGTGAACACTCATTGAATCTGTGCTTCTTTCCACAGCTCGCTCTGCAGCTCAGTATGTGCCAACATCCGGCTCCTGCAAGAACAGGTGTTTTGAGCTGGTCGAGTTGGAACCACCAAACTGTCGCTGTGACAACCTGTGTAAGACCTACAACGGCTGCTGCTCAGACTTCGATCAGCTCTGCCTCAGGACAGGTACTCAGTCATACTCTATGCCTGTCCTCTCATTTGTTTGTTTCTTGTTATGCAGCTTTTTATCCCCTCTGTCTTAGTACTGCAAGAGCAAAACGTAGCTGATAAAACTAGACTTAAGACACAAAAGACTTTGGCTTGGTGCTATCATGGGTTCTGCTATTGTGATTTAAACTGACTTGCATTGTTTAATTTGAGAGATATTCCTAAAGTAGAGAATACCGGAAATGACGGAAAACAAAAATGAGTCCCAGATTCTTGGCAGTGTGTTCGATATCAGGGAAAAGGTGCTCAAAAACCCAGTCGCCAGAATAAATGTTGGCATTGCACATTTCATAATATTCTGAACAGTCTACAGCTGTCTGCTGCTTGGCAACAGTCTCAGAAACTCAGCCAATATGCACGTAATCTTAGAAATGTTAATATGATACATATGAACTGTACGGGCAGCTGTGGCTCAGGACTTAGAGCAGGTCATCCACTCCAGTCCACATGTCACAGTATCCTTGGGCGAGATACTGAACCTCAAAATGCTCTTGATGGCTGCTCCTTCACGTGTGTGAGAATGTATAAACTCTTTGGCAGGTGGCCCCTTGTATGGTAGCCACCGGTGTATGAATGTGTGTGTGAATGTGACATATAGTGTAAAAGCACTTTGAGAAGACAAAAAGGTGCTACAAATGCAAGTCCATTTATCATTGATTTTACCACTACAATGCCAACATTTTATTCTGGTGACTGGGCTGGACTCACGGTTGCTCTTGATAATGCAGGTCAGGTCAGAGAGGCTGAATAAAACAATCCTAGAATTTAACATCATAAAGCTGGAGGAAATCCTTCAACATCTGGCATTTAATATCCATCAGGTGGACAAGAACTTTTTTCCAACAAAATGGAAAGTCAGCTGTGTAATGTGCCTCTGATGTGTTGCTGTGAAAGGATGGTCTTGATTTATAGTATCATTCCACATTTCAGAATCATCTTGTCAACAGATATGTTTCACATAACATATCATGTATGTTAGAACAAAACTCAAGTTCTGTACTTATATAAATAAGAGGTACATGTAATTTACTTGAGTATTTTTCACTTACACTTAACTACAGTCCAGACAGAAATATTATCTGTTTACTGTGTTACATTTATCTGACAGCTGCACTTACTGCTATAGTTTTATTGTAAAATGGGTTGCAGTGCTATAGCTTACCTTATCCAATATTGTGTGTATTATGTATTAGTTCCAATTGGACCAACTGTAAAATCCTACTTACACACACAATTGCATCAGTGGCAATAATCCATTCATATAATCATAAAACCCTTATTTTCAGGTCATCTTACTATATAATGATGAAAACTGTGTGTGTGTGTGTGTGTGTGTGTGTGTGTGTGTGTGTGTGTGTGTGGGTGTGTCTGTTCAACGTTTTTCTCCTCACTGACTTGGTCAATCCATGTGAAATTTGGTACAGTGGTAGAGGGTCATGGGAGGATGTGAATGAAGCAATATTACATCAATTGGCCAAAGGGGGGCGCAATAGCAACCGATTGAAATTGCAAACTTTGAATGAGCATATCTCATGCCCCGTATGTTGTAGAGACATGAAACTTTGCACAGAGATGCCTCTCCTCATGAGGAACAAATCTGCCTCAAGAACCCATAACTTCCGGTTTATAGATTTTCCGCCATTTTTAATTTTTTTGAAAAACACTTAAAATCGATCTCTTCCTAGGAAGTTTGACCGATTTGCATGAAACTCAGTGAACATAATCTAGGGACCAATATCTAAAGCTCCCTCTTGGCAAAAGTTGGAAAACTTACTAAAACTGAGCTTCTATAAGGCAATGAATATTGCGGAGGGCGTGGCTCATCACATAAAGGTGTATAACATCTCAAGGGTTTCACCGATCACCACACAACTTTGTAGGCATATGACCACACACATTCTCGGAACCCATCGGCTGTATTTGGCATCTGACTTCCGGCGATACAGCCTCTGGGGCATTCCGGTTTGATTTAGGCGGAGGAGGCGAATTTCCGTTTTCGACTTCTGTTTATATATAAGTTAATATGCTGAACCATTGCGATGGATTCAGAGTTTGCAGTGACGGCAATTATGTTCCGCCTCGTTAGTTCACTGCACGGGCGGTTTAACCTGGCAACAACTGCAGCCGGCTCAAATGTGATTGATCAATATCACACTGACTACAAACAGCCTGTAACTGGAAATCAGGGCTCTTCCACTCTACTTCCGGAGGCAAGATCTCCGGGGTTTGCCTACAGACTCTACATTCACTGAATGTAGAGTCTGTATATAGAGACTAGACCACACATAATCTGAGGGGACCCCTCCATTATTGACCCGATCAAACAAAATGGGGGAGCTAGAGAGCTAATTTCTTATTTAGGCCTAACCGCCTTATAGATTTTTACTAAACTTGGTAGATATGTAGAACAGGACGCCTCAAGGTGACTGGAGAAATTTAACTCTAATTGGCAACTGGGTGGCGCTATAACAACAGAAACATGCTTAAAAATGGCTAAAATGCGACAGATCGCTGTGGCTCCCCCTGTGGCCGAAATTTTTTTTCTAATTTTTGGTATGACTAAGTCATGGTATGGTATGCTGTACATAATCACGGAAACTGTCAGTGTGTCATTCTGTCAGTCAGTCATTCTGTCTGTCCCATGTTTTTCTACTCACTGACGTGGTCAATCTATGTTTCCCATGTGAACTACCAGTGCGCCCCACTTTTGAGTCAATACAACATATACTATCTGCCTTTCAATGTGCTACCTCAACTACTAATGTACAGTTTTAGCCCACTAACTATCCCACTATTGGCTATGGTACTACTGTACTTTCAATAATGCAATTTTACTATCAAATTCACAAATACTCTGTCTGAATACATTGCTCTTCTTAATGGGTTCAGTTGACTATTTAATCTGCAATTTCCTATGACCTGTATCCCAAACACACACCATGTGAAACTGTATATGGGCAACTGTGCACTCACTGTTTATGGACTAGTTTTCTGTATTGAGTACTTTTACTTTTGATATTCAGGCCCCAGCCACCCTGATACAATTGCACATCAGCTAATTAACAACTTTAAAGGTATACTATGCAGGATTGGCAGTTACTGTTTGTTAACACACTTGCCAGCTTAAGTGAAAGTAAAAATAAAAAAACCCAGATTCACTCTCATTTGGCATTTGCCTCCCTGTATTTGTGTTTCTTTTTTTGGCATTGTGTTTCTTGGAGGCCTGCTGCTTAAGGTCTAGCACCTAGTCGCTACCTTTTTATAAAGCCCCAACCTCACCTGAGCGCTGCAGGGGTTAGAAGAAAAGTAAGAAGTACCAAGTTCCATGACCATGGAAACCCTGTATATCAATATGCAAGCTCCTAAACTCTCATATTGACATAGTTTTCAGCTAGCCTACATACTACAGCAGCATATCACCCCATGTGGACACCCCTATTAAACTGATACTAATAGTTAAAGTTAATCAGTTACTTTTACCCAGGTATCATTTTGACTGCAGGACTTTGGGTAGTGGAGGTTAACGGTGTGGTATTGCTTTAACACTTTCCTTCACCACTGCTTGCTTTGATGATGAACTTGCTTCATTGTTGGTCATAACTGTGCTTTGCAGTATGTTGCCATGTTATAGAGCCATTTAGCCAGACACTGATTATTTTGGATCTGAACTTGTATGTCTGCCCTTTTTGTCTAGACAAATACTAACAGAGCTTATTAATGTTCAGTGAAGGAAAGTTTGTTCTAGTCCGTTAAATTGACAAACACTTCTTACACACTGGTGAGTTGAAATTATTGTTCTCAAGCCAAGATATCAGAGATATCTTTTCTAAGTCTGATTATCCAGCTGTACAAATTAGTTATTTGAGCTGAAAATGAGCCATGGAAGCCTGAACAAGTTTTCTACTTGTTGTGTAAGCTGTACTTGTCTCCCTGTTTATGTATTTCCCCTCTGCTACTTCCAGTGTTGGTGGTCTGATTTTATGTCCTCTCCTTCAGCCTGGTGGTCTTTGGCTTACCGCTGCCTTGCCACTGTAATCCTCCCTGTGCCAGAAAGTGGTGATATACTTGCATATACCCACTGAACTTTAAGCTACAACTCTCATCTGGTGTTCTCATCTTGAGAATTTGGCCATAATACACACTATGTTGGCAACATTTGTCCCAAATTGCTGAGTACTCAGCTGTATGGTATGCAGCCAGACCACTGGATGATTACTGTATCAGCTTTCATTTCTCAGTGCTTGTGGTTTCAGCACTACTCTATCAGATTAGTTGTGTATATGTCAAGATTTTGAGTGTACTGTCTTTATCCCCTGCTTGTTATTATGTGAACGACTTCTTTTAACTTAGTTCCCTCTATGTTCCCATATACAGAGGGGGGTTATGAGTGCAGTAAAGATCGATGTGGGGAGACTCGAAATGAACAACATGCCTGCCACTGCTCTGATGACTGTCTGGCCAGAGGAGACTGTTGTACCAACTACAAGACACTGTGTAAAGGTTTGCAACTTTTAATGTCCTATATATGTCCTATATTTGTTGAAATGTTCTTATATGGAAAGGCTGACACTGTAGATTACAGGTTTTCAGTTTTCATCTTGCACCTTGTTGAGCCAAGCAAGCTTGTATACCAGAAAGTCCATGAAGAAAAAGTACACTGCTAACTTTAGTTTGTAGTCTAGATAGCCAATGCAAATTAGCCAATAAGCTGATACTTTAAACATCCTAAAAACTCACACCTAACTGTCAGCATCAGTGACTTTAGATGTCAAATGCTTTGGTCATTTTTAAAATGAAATGCAAATATGAACAAAGTCCTTGGCTTGTAAGCTACGATTAACAAGTATGTTTATAATCAGTGTGTTTACATGTATTTAAAGGAATACTTCACCCCCCACCTGACCATTTGTGTATCAGTTACTTGCTCCATTTAACGTCAAATTTGTGAAGAATACATTGTTATTCTTGCTTGTCTCTGATGAATGAAGAATCCAAAACCCCCAAAAATCCTTGATGAATTAAAGTCATAGGGGTCCATGTTTAACACCTGCAAAACTATATCATTACAACCAATTACAAACAGTCAGACTGCATTGGCAAAAACGATTATTTGACTTCACTGAAAAAGGGAGCTGTTGGCCTTCTGCTGCCTAACACACTGCCACAAACAAACTACAGATTGAGACAGCTGTAGACCAGCAGCTCCTGTTTTCAGTGAGGTAAAATTACTGTTTTTGTCAGTGAAGTCTGGCTTTAAAGAGAGAGCATACATAATCTAAATTTCAGTTCCCTGTCAGAAAAGGTTGTCTGTTTGGGAAGCACTGAGCACACGACTGGATAAATTAGACTTGGATTATACTGCACACGTTGTGTGAGAGTTTATAGATGGATATTTTAATATAGTTTTGCTGTCATTAAAAGTGGACCCCTATTACTTGAATTTGTGAAGAATTTTCTCTTTTTTTTGGATTCTTTGTTCACCAAAGGCATGCGCAAAACCATTTTCCTTCATGAATTCAACATAACACAGGGTGAGTAACTGATATACAAACAGTCATTTGCGGGGTGAAGTATTCCTTTAATTATCCAAATTATGGTCAGCTTCTTTCAATAAGGTGATTTCTTATATTTTAGTTTCTTAAGGTGATTTCTTAAACGTCATGTAAATGAGAAACATTTTCCAGCTAGGTTTTCCCAAGGAATGTGCAACCATGTTTCTAATCAGCTTCACAATTATGTACGTGCATTTCAAAGAATTTGGAATTCAGACACATTTGTGCTATAAGGAAGAGCTGGGCTCTGTTGGTCTGCTCAGACACACACAACAATAAAAAAGTCAGGACTACGGATGCATGATAGTGGATATTTGTTGCCAATACCCATAAAACATTTAAAATATAAAACAACTTATTTGGCTGATAACGAATATCGATATTGATATATCCACTTTTCCCCTATCTGGATTTAGTGATTTTTTTTTTCTGTAGTGGAATTAACATCATATTATACATGCATACTCTTATTGTGGTGGCCCACTAGCAGATGGAGACATGAAATACAATACTTTTCAATGTATGTAATATTCATTCATTGTGCAAAGTAAGAAAAAGCATGTTGGCTGATTCTAATATTTCATTTTAAAGCTGATATTGCTATTACTGATGACATGCTGATATTATCATGCATCCCTTGGTCAGGATGCTGCGTCTTCTGTCAGCACAGTTAAAATAACCAAGCCAGTGCTTTAAAATCAATGGAAGCAGTCTGATCACTGCTAATATGCTATGTGAATATGCAGATTTATAGTGACCTGATTACTTAAATGCATGTAAACACCCTTATTCTCACTGTTCCAAACCAGCCATTCACCGGTTTGTGTTGTTCATACATCATTTTATCTCTCTCAATCCCCCCTCTGATCATGTTCTTTCAGGGGACACCTCATGGCTGCAGGATGAGTGTGAGGAAATCAAGACATCTGAATGTCCTGCTGGGTACGTTTACATCTGATTAGTAAAGGGCTGTGAAGGGATCAATCAGTGTTCATAAAGATTGTTTTTATGCCACATATCTGAACTAGAAAAGGTTTAGCTGTCCAGTGTGTGTTTTGGGGCATGTGGGTGGAAACGGAGAGTGCATGGCAGTCTGTGTGTCCAGCGTGTATGCATTACAGGAGTGGGATCAATGACTACATAATAAAATATTAATGGAAAATGTCAGTCTCACAGTGACAATGCCAACACTAACATGACTGCCACGTAGGTTGTCCCTAGCTGAAACAAGACTCCAAACTGAGGCAATTGCTGATCACTTGCAGCCCCTATCAGCCAGTTAAGAGGAATGAGGAGACAGTGATTTTATAAAACAGAGTAGTCAATTAAATAGGTTTTTCAACAACTGTGAATCATTGCAACCACAGGAAGTCCTTGAGCATACATTCATACATTTGCACATAAAATGTTAGGCTGAGTCCAGTAGTTTGTCAAATTAGCTGCAGAAAGACAAATACAAACATGCATTTTCTTTTAAATAAAACAACAATTTTTTCTTCTTCTGCTATGTGTATGTGCAGGTTTGTGCGCCCACCCCTCATCATGCTGTCAGTGGATGGATTTAGAGCATCTTATGTGAAGAGAGGAAACAAGGTCATACCCAACATTGAGAAACTGAGTAAGACCTGAATAGCAATATGAGAAATATTTGCTTAAGCTGTAAGATCTCCGTTCTCTCTCCTTAATGAGTTGGAAGACTATGTTGATGATGTGAATTATAGAACCATGAGCATTTATAAACAATCAATAACTGATTTGGTACTATTCATAGGCATCTCTGTGCTAATCTAGGGGTTTCCTTTGCTTTGTTTTTTCTCTTTTAGGAACATGTGGAACCCATGCTCCATACATGAGGCCTGTTTACCCCTCAAAAACCTTCCCCAACCTCTACTCACTGGCTACGGTATGGCATGGCCGTACGGCTCATTGTCATCAATAATCAGGTTGTCAGTTGCATCGTGTAATGAACAGTTTGCTGTCAGTGTTTACAGATGTTAACCTCACCTGTAGCTTGAAATGGTCTGCTAACATTAGTAGTAAGCGCAAAGTACAGCTGAGGCCAACAGAGTATAGCTAAAGCTGAATAAGTGAGCAAGTATGCCAATGTTTAATCTTAAGATTTCAGAGGTACTTTTTGGCAAGTGGTTGAGACAAGATTGTATATTTGGTCTAAGCATAGTCTCGATTGTTCGCAGGGTCTCTACCCAGAGTCTCATGGTATCGTCGGCAACTCCATGCATGACCCAGTATTTGATGCCACCTTCACCCTGAGAAGCCGAGAGAAACTCAATCATCGCTGGTGGGGTGGCCAGCCAGTAAGTACTGTCTCTTCTCTGTGCTGTAGTCTTTATTTTTAACCATCTGTAGCTCATCAACACTATGATTATATATTTTTATTACTGAGCTGACAAGGATTTTATTTTGCTTTTCTATCTGCTTTGACGATAAATAACTTTTGTGTATGGCTTTGAAAGTTACTGTGTCAAATTCCACTGACAGGTCACAGATGAGTGGCCAACAAAGGCAGGAAAGACTTTTCTTTTGAAGCCAACTACAGTATGATTGGCAGGACTCCGATCCAACAAACCCAGTCTGATAGGCCTTATTATCCAGTGATTAATAACAGATGGTAATATGAAAGCTGGGTTGGGGTCACTTTTTGTTCATACAAAATCAAAGCTTTAACATTAAGTTGTCTGGAACTCCTCAGGGTTTGTTTTTGTGGCTTTACTTAAAGAACAAACCTGCGCCAGGATTTCATTTGTTGTTTTCCAAGTTGAGCAAAAAAACATCAAGTCTGGATGCATTGCTAACTAGCAAGGGCTTACCGGTGTCGTTCAAAATGGTTGATGAGTGCAAACAAAAACCAACCTACTGTACTGTTTTATACCAACTAGAATAACAGAAAAAAGCGTATATGCCCACACACAGAGGGATATCCCTCTCAGTGTACTGTCACATACAATACTGCACACCACGAACTTGGTCTGTCTCGCTCATGTTATTGTTTGTGTCCAGAGTAATCTATCAGACTGATAACATTTAAAAAACTGTATCGTTTCTCTCCTAGATCTGGATCACAGCGCTCAAACAGGGAGTGAAGGCTGCCACCTTCTTCTGGCCTGTGTAAGTCCACATTTGCAGCTGTCAGTTGCAAAATATTTTCCTCAGTACTTCTGCCAGCCTTTCATTGCAGTTTGTTGGTGCTCTGCCTCACAAACTGCCAGTAAATGTCTTCCTTTTCTTTTCAATACTTTTGTAGTTTTGTTTTCTTTTATTACTATTTTGGGCATCACAGCTGGGTGGACGCTTTGCAATGACAGCCTCTCCTCTCAGTCTAAACAGTTTAAAGCTGGTGATGTAGCGATTGTACAATAGTTTGTTCTCTTGGGTCTCAGCTGCTCTGGAATCATTTTTTATATTTGTTCATGTTGCCCAATAAATGAATCAGGGATTGTAAACAGAACACACAAGGAGTCAGATGTAGCTTGTTTACTATACTGAATGCACTGTTGGTCGTAATTTACCGTAAAAGTTAAAAGCATTTCATAGGTGACCAAAATGTTACAAGTAAACTATCATGAACTGATAACACACTGAAATAACGACAGCTACGACTATACTTACCCCCAATTTCCACATACTCTGTTTGCGCCGTGTTGCGCAGGGCTGCGGATCTGGAGCAACCTATGGCGCGTACCCTACTGGATGCGTTTCTGGAGCACCGTACCACTTAGCGGAGCCGCAAGCTCACGTGGGAACTGCGAAATCACGCGATAAAAAGCACAATTCACTCCCAGAACTCCTGCAGTTTCACACAATGTCTTCTCCTTTCGGTTTGTATCCTTGTAGAAAGGATGTGTGGTGTCATACAAAATACTATGGTTTTCCACTTCAACTATGAGTTTCTCCTCGTCCATCTTTCCTCGGACCCTCGTACTGATAGACAACTTGTGCGACAGGATGTAACGTGATTTTTAAAAAACTGAGAGTTTACAATCCATAGTCCGTGCATTGTGTTATTTTCTTCACATTGCAATTTACTGGATGCCGTGTGCGTTCCGTTTCCGGTTTGGTGCGATCTGAGCAATGTGGCTTCACGTGCTATGGACGCGCAGTCACTGAAAAATAGACCTAGTGCGTATCTCCGACGAAGCGTAACGCCATGGCGCTTCTTGGACGCTCCAGAGACGCTGTGTGGAAATGAAGCTATCCACTAGAATGGGAGCGTATCTGCTATATAGTGAATGGCGCAGATGGAGCATGTGGAAACTGGGGGTTATGCTCTGTGAATCTGGGTTTATTTTATGGTTAGCCAACCAATGTTGTTGTTGTAGGAGTGACTTGTCAACAGAGAGCAACCCTCCTGTTATTTAAAGCAGCCACACCCTTAATTATGCATAACTGAAAGCCTTAATGAAATGTAAAAGAGTGAGTTATTTAAAAACTCATCCCTGTACAGTTGTCATGAACAAGGAAATTAGCTATAGAGACCAAAACCTGTTTTTATTCCAGGCTGTTAACATGTTTGTTACTGCTGTGTCATTTACACATTGGAGTCTATGGGGACTGACTCACTCTTGGAGACAGCCTCAAGTGGCCATTAGGGGAACTGCAGTTTTTTGACACTTTTGCATTGCCTTCATTTTGCAGTCTGGAGGTTGCAGCTTGGTCCAAACACGCTGAACTAAAAAAATACATAAACAGAGTTTGGTGTTAATGTGCCTTAAAGGCCACTGCGGATGCATTGTATTACAACTAATAATTTAGAGACTGTATGTCATTTGGTGGCAAAAGTTCTCAAAGGAAGTCATCAGAACATGCCCGTTCATGTTCCTGCTGCTTACTCAGGCGGCTGCACCAAACCTAGAGCCTGTGGAACACAAAGGAGCCCACATTTATCAGCACAGAGAAGGCTTTGATGGAGCGGGAGGCAGATCTCAGCAGAGGGCTGTTTTTTCAGCAATTTGTGCAAATGGGCCTGTTTACACTGTGCAGGATTCCTCTGTGAAGCGGGGTCGCAGACGTGCCACTCTATAGAACCATGGGGGCCAGAGTGTGGTTTACAGTGTTTTCTTGCACTTGGCACTGACAGAGGTGTGCGAGGAAGAAAGAGAGAATCAGGCGAAAGTGTCAGGAGTGTGCATATGACAGAGAGTGAGAGTGGAGGTCTGTGCTGACATCTCTGTGTGGCTGAAAAAGGTTTTTTTTTTTAAATGATATAGTACCACAGTGGGATTGGCATGGTAATGGGGACCAGGGATTATTGTTGAATGACTGGCTGACTGGTTGAGGGTCTGTGTTGGGTTGAGCTTTCTGGGAGGTCGCCCCCCAAAACCACAAGAAGAGAGAAGAAAAAAGAAAGGGAGAGTATAAAACAGACAACAGGAGGAGGGAAAATTTAAAAGTGTGAACATAGACAAAAGCACAGAGAGGGAGCAAACACGAGAGAGAAGCCTGCTGTCAAGCTTTAATGCAGTGCAACCACACCTCCTTGTTCCGCCATGCAGCCCCCCACTGCCTCATACATCAAGACCCATTCAGGGCCTCAGTACTGGGCTTGATGGTTGACAGCTGTGGACTGTATGACAGCCAGCAGCTTGGTTGGTGGCCTCATCACTACACAGGCAGCATACAGGCAGCCTTTGACTTACAGACACTTTAAACAGTGAGAGGGCTTGAAATTCGTTCTCTACAACCCTCAACTTTATGAGGCTCTTTGAGAGTTAAAGGAACAGTTTGGAGTTTAATGGTTCATGAAAGTGGCAGGACACCAAAATCAGAGCCCACTACTGAAACTCATTGTTTATGTCCTTGGCTTGTATGTCACTTGCAGCTATGGTTTTTCCCCATTCACTCAAAAATGTATTTTTCTTCTGTTTATGTCCCCTAGAGTGTCTGATCTTGACTACACTGACTTGTATGTGTGCAAAGTTTGTTCCTGGACGGTGCAATCAATGCCAGGATGTCAACAAAAGCACATTGTTAGGTTTAGGCAACAAAAGCGTGTGGTGCTACATTGGAGGCGAACACCAGGCTCCTGGGTGAAAGTTCAGGGTTAATTGGACCCATCATTTGCCCCTCCCACCCACCCTATAAGGACTTTCCACCTCCCTATATTATGTTGTCACTGTCAGAGTTTCAACCTGATGCGTATCATACTGCCGCGACAGGTGCCATCCGACCGCGTTACAAAGTAACGCTACCCAGTGGCATTTCATACCGACGCAAAAGGTCGATTTTGATGTCAGGTGTCTAACATCAACCGTTCTCTTGAGGGAGGACATCTGTTGCTTGCCTGGGAATAACAAGCAACACACCGTTGTTTCACTAGCACTGGCTATCTTGATGCGCTCTGCACTTTCATTGGTCAACCTAGCGAGAGCAGTGCTGGTGAAAGTGAAAGCTTAACCTACTGCAAGCAACGGTGGTGGGGTGGAGGCCAGATCTAGAATTTCTAAATGAGAAAGAGTAGATCTGCTTCCTGCCCCTTTTTATGGCTTTTAAAAAAATATATATAGTTCATACTTTAAAATGTCTCTAGAGGTGGACTTTGACTAATGTTACCCTTCTTTGTGTGTGTGTGTTTGTATTCCAGTGCTATCCCATTGGAGAGGCGGATACTGACCATGCTGCAGTGGCTCCACCTTCCTGAAGGAGAGAGGTGAAATCATTTTTTCTTTTTTTTTGTCTGCCTCACATTTGTCTGTCATCTTTGTCAACACTTGGATCCACAGCTCAGCAAGAGCGGGAAACACAGTTTCACCATATCCCATTAGGTGTTTGGAGTTCTGTAATGTAATCTGTGACCACAGCTGGATGCTCAGAGTGAAAATATACATCGAGGTTAAGTTGCTAATGAGTGCATTCATACCCAGTTAGTTTGAATATGACAGATTCCTCAGCTAAAGGGTATTCAGCATTTGAACTTAAAAAACTGAAAGCAAAATCTGAGTCAAAACAAACCTGTTTGGTTTAAGTATGAGAGAGCTAATCATACTCACTACATCTAATGATATGCAGATATCACAGCAGATGAGAGTCACTGACTCTGTAAACCTCATGTTCAGTAGCTGAACATGCCTCCGTTTACCTCCTGATAATAGTCAATCAGTAGCTCCTTGTTTAACCCTGCCGTGCTCCGCTGCTACTGTACATCTGATTGTGCTTGCCATGTAATTACATGACTTAACTCTAATGATAGAAATCAGACTCAGCCACTGTGTGTGGCTGCTGACTGCTGCTGCTACTACTAATATCACTACTGCTATACTGTTACTTACGCTGCTGTCAGAATTACAACTGCTGTGACTGTGCCTAATTTCACTGCTACTACTTTAAACTACTATTACTACTAAGAGGTCTTTAGCTAGTACTAGTACTATTGCTGCTGTTATACTGCTCTTACAGCTGCCATTACTGCTCCAATCATCACCACTACTTTTACTAGTAACATAATGCTGCTGCTATCACTGTTAATATTACATGTGCTATTGCTGTTTCTGCCAGTACCACTCCAACCCAATTGCCAGAATAAATGTTGCCATTGTATGTTCCTGTATGATCCACAGATATGTTACATTTGCATATTATTATGTAGCAAATACATTTCAATAATGCTTTGGTTAACATGTAGTTATGTTTAGGCACAAAAACCACTTGGTTATGGTCAGAAAAGATCATGTTTTGGCTTAAAATACCCAGTTTCATGCCCACTAGCTCACCTGGTAGAGCAGGCACCCCATGTCCAAAGGTTGTGTTCTTGCTACAGTGGCCGCGGGTTCAATTCCAACCCATGGTCCTTTGCTGCATGTCATCCCCACTCTCTCTCTCCCCCCCTTTCAAGCTAAATCTGTCCTATCAAATAAAGGCAAAAAAAGCCCCAAATAATACCTTTAAAATCTTGTTGACACAAAGGGACAGGTTGCTTAAAAAAACACATTTGGTGGCTAAAAAGCTGCTGGAAGACGCATCGATGATTCACTAAAAAAACAAACAAACAAAAAAACTGATTCTGTTGTCTGTTGGTCCTGAACAGTGGTCTGCAGCATGGCAGATGTGATCGCCTAGGTGTCACACCATTGCATAATGCAGCTGCCAGGCCTTTAAGTAATGCCAGAAAAGAAACCATATTGCCCCTGATTCAGCATCCTTGCACTGGATTCCTGTCAGATTCAGATTTATTTTTTTTATTTTACTTATCACATGAAAAGCTGTAAATGGCTTGCATTTGGGGCCTCCACTACCCCCGTACACCCTCTGAAACCTCTACACCCTGAATGGACCTGTAGGTCTTCTCTAAGTGGCTTTTTTACATGTATCTTTTCACCATCTTCTGTTCACCCGCACATTTTACTGATGCTTTCATACTGTTAATTTATTTGACAAATGAGAATTAATGGAGGAAGTATTCAGATTGTAGCAATACAATCATAAAATACCCTGCATTTAAATTCCTAATCAAGTAAAGTACAGAAGTATTATCAGCAAAATGTTCTTATATTATCAAAGTAAAAGTACTTGCTTTGCAGTAAAATGTCCCCTGGGACATTAGATTGTTAATACTAATGCATCAGTGTTTAAATTTCATGTTACTGTTGTAGCTGTTTGAGTCAGAGCTGGTTTTAAGTACTTCATATACAGTTAGCTAGAGTGGTACAGTAGTTCCCAACCTAGGAGTTGGGCCCCTCCTGGGTGTCACCAGATAAATCCTAGAGGTCATGGGATGATTTAGCCTGAGTGTCAGACTGAAGCTCCCAGAACCTTCAGTCTGACATGGCCTCCATTGAAGGCGATTTACAAGGGGGAGGGAATTTGATTTTTCCCTAACCAATCAGTAGAGATCAACGACTCACCCAGAATCTGACGTCATTAGTATCCATGCCTCGGGGGTGCCGAAAACAAGCGAGCATTGCCCGTTTAAAATGTCTCCGTCGTCGTGCACGCCCAGCTGCATCGCCGTTAAATCCAGTTTAGCAGCTTCCTTAATTTGGTCCTCCATTAACATGAGTAGTGGCAAAATACCTCGATAGCATCGTTAATGTGGTCTGTAGGATCTGTAGCGGTCGCCATTGTTGCTATCCTCACCACTGGCGTAGAGCTTGACATCAGTGGACGCTGATTGGCTAATTGCCAGACCCGCCCCCACCCCCAGCGTTCATTGGTCTGTCCATCGTTTGGACGAGATAAATCGCAAATTCATTGCAGTATGCCAGACCAGAGATGCAAGTCTACTCACTTGAGTGGGCGGGGTCTATGGTCTGGAACCAGGCTAGGGATGATGAAGAGGGAAGAAGAAAAAACTAAGTTCCGATACATAGATGTATATAATCTATTTATATTCTCTCTAATCTTTGAATTTTGTGAAATATTAGATAATTTGACCTCTTTGATCCTCCAACAGTGGCAATCTTTAATTGTATTATTTATTTATTTTTCACGTTGTTTTAATGTAACATTTCATCTGAAAAGTATAGTAAACAAAGCAGTGAAAAATTTATTGGGAAAAATAGCATAAAATGGAAATATTCAAGTGCCTAAGTGCAGTACTTGAGTGAATGTACTTAGTTTACACTACTGCAAATAATACACCATAAAGCATGATTTAGAAAAGGTGTTATTATTATTATTATTGATTAATACCATCACTACATCTACTATCTCCAGTCTGACTTGTCTCATCTTGTTTCAGGCCATACGTTTACGCCATGCACTCTGAGCAACCAGACACATATGGACACAAGATGGGGCCCATGAGTGCAGAAGTGAGTACAGCGGAACTGCGTCTGTGTTTGGGATGTGTGGTTTTGTATGGAAAGACAAACACATGGTAAAGCTCACAAACCAGACACAAGGATAAACATATACACTCATATAGTTCCTCTCTGTGTGTCTCATCAAAACACAAACACACACAGTATGTTTTGACTCCCTTTGTGTGTTTCAGTTGAACAACCCTCTGAGGATGATCGACAGAATCGTTGGCCAACTGATGGATGGACTCAAACAGATGAAACTGCACCGTTGTGTCAACATCATCCTGGTGGGGGATCATGGTACAGACACACACACTAACACTAACACTAACACAAACACACTGCACTGCATTGCCAGGTCACATCATAATTGGTTTCACCAGCCAATCACACACTCCTACCTGTTTTCCTGTGTGTTTTCAGGAATGGAAGAGGCCAGTTGTGATCGCACCGAGTTTCTTAGTCACTACCTGAACAACGTTGATGACATCATCCTCATCCCTGGGTCTCTAGGCAGAATACGCTCAAGACACCCCAACAACCCTAAATGTAAGAGAGTCCAAGAGAAAAGTTCATAATATTACATTTTTGCTGAGATATTCCCTCTCCTTTTTGAATGCCTCTGTGCCAACGTTAGACATAGCTGGAGGCATTATGTTTTCAGGTTGTCCGTCCTTTGGTTTGTATGCCTATCCGTACATCGGCCCCATTCTTTTGAAAGCGATATTTCAAGAATGCCTTAAGGGAATTTCTTCAAACTTGGCTAAAACATCCCCTTCAACTCAACGATGACCTGTTTAGATTTTTGTGGTATATAGGTCAAAGGTCAAGGGCACTGTGACTTTGTCTGTCTCATTCTTATGAACACATTATCTCAAGAACACCTTGAGGGAATATAGATATTGAATTGGTGACACTAATCTTGGGTGCCCACCTTGAAACTGTGCTGATTGCATAGATCTTCTGTGCTGTCGGGGGGAAGATGTGTGTTAAGCATCCATGTTTTCACAGACATGGATGTAAACTGCTAGGGACACTTGACTCATGTGCGGAAGCATACAACCGCAGGGCAGTAATTCTAGTTTTGTTTCTTTGGTTTCTTTGTTTTTTCCTTTCACATAGCATTATTTAGGATTTCTGCCCTCTTATTTATGCAGATTTCATTGTATTCAGAGCTTCTGGTATTTTAGACCTTCATCATCAAACATGACACAATCATTTCCTGGCAAGAACAAAAAGGCTCTGATATTATCATTGGCAGCGTGCACAGTACATACTATACAGTGGCTACCACTGGAAACATGGTTGTAAGTGTGCTCCGTCTGACCAATGCAATGGTACAACTTAACCATCTTTTATCTTGTTCTTGGAAAACGGACATTTTGTTTAGTGTCTACATTCCTTTGTCCTACTAACCTACTTCTCAGTAGTACACTTGATGAAATTTGTATTGTTTTTCTGAGAGTAAACTGTTAAAATATACAGAACGGTTTGTTGCTTTGTTTTACTTTATGGATGGTAAATGCTTTGCAACAGGTTTCACTGCTCTGACCATTATTATTATTATTATTTTTTTTTTTTTTCAGATGACCCCAAGGCTGTTGTTGCAAATCTAACAGTAAGTATGAGACTTGCACGAAAAATACAACCCAGTTGCCAGAAAATTTTTTGGTATTGTACATTTCTGCAAAGCACGGATATGTTTCATTTGTACGTTATTATGTAGGGGATATGTTGAAACATTTTGACAACACTGTGTTTAACTGATTAGGTTTAGGCACCAAAACCACTTGGTCATGGTTAGGAAAAGTCACGTTTTGAATCTCAAAAAATAAGGTTTCTCATAGCACTATCCATGCAGAGAACAAAACAATGTCTCAGTTAAAAACAACCGCTTTTTGTGGCACAGATGCTGGTACTGAAAAAACAGCGACAGGTCACTAATAAACAACCACATTTGGTGGCTAAGAAGTGGCTGGAAACAGCAATGTCTTGCTAAAAAAACAACTGTTTTTTTTGTTTGATGGTCTCAAACAGTGATCTGCAATATCCTGCAGCTTAGCAGGCGTCTTGCCTAGGTGTCGCACCATCCTTCACCCCCCATGATTTCCAATGATAAAGTCAGGTCATATACTATGTCGCTTCAAAAACATTAATATGATATATATGAAACGTACAAATGTTACACTAAAATTTGTGAACTTAAAAAGTAATGATGGAAAATTTTATAAAATTTGATAAGAAGAGAATTTCACCAGAAATTTACACCATTCGCAGTCAGACACACACAGCTGCTTATTTACTGCTGAATTACAGCTCAGACTCGCACCAACAGCTGCCTCTGCTCTGGTGTGATTGTTTTTGCTGGCTAGCGAAACATCCTGGCGCAATCGTAAGCACGGCCATTCTCGACTTTTAATGTCTGATAGTCCACCATTAACATTTTCGTCTCATCAACGAAAATGAAACAAATTTTGTTTTAGTTTTTATTACCAAGATCTATTTTTAGCTCATCATTGTCTCATTTTCATCACAGAAAAAAGGTCTACGATGAAAAATTTTCGTCTTAGTTTCGTCAACAGAATTAACACTGCTGTCTGTCACCTACTTGATCAGCACTTTTAGGATCAGATTACCAATGATTGCTTCTTTGTTGCAGTGCAAGAAGGCAGACCAGCACTTTAAGCCATACATGAAGCAGCACCTACCCAAGAGACTGCACTATGCCAACAACCGACGCATTGAAGATATTCATCTGCTGGTGGACAGGAAGTGGCACATTGCAAGGTACAGTACCACCACTATAACAGGAAGTACAAATATCATCCAATGTTTACAAGCTAAAGTGGACAATTCCCATAACTGACACTTCTTTCAATAGGCCAATCAGAGATACAGTCTTTAAATATGCCTGCAAATCATAAGAAGGTGCTCCTTGTAACTTCAGATTCCCTAATCATTAAATCTCTTTAGAACATCTGAGGTTCTCCAGAAGAAGTTCTAATAACTCATGTAGTTTTGATTTGTGGCTGTATCTACTACTAGGAAGAGCTCTACTGTTCTGTGAAGTCAGTGTAGATGTGGCATTTTCAGCCCACCCATCAGTGACGCTTTTTACTGCACATCTTGTTTTACTTAAAAACACATTTTATGTAAACGTGGGCTGCTATCAACGCATCATTAACACGTGTCGTGCTGAAAAGTTTTAGGATGTGTTGTCCAGAGCCACATCCATGTAAAAAACCCACATCTTTCTCCAAAGTGCAGCTGCTGAAACGTTAATGACATGCTGAAATGAACTCTGACAGGCGTCTGATGTAGAGCAGTGACAAGTTTCACTGCATTGATTCAGTGACAGAGTAAACCGTAAAGTCATCATGACTGAAAGTGAAAACAAACCACCTTGGCTAACAACGCTATGTGTGTGTGTGCGTGTGTGTGTGTGTGTATACGTGTTCATGTCAGCAACGGCCTCCTTGCATGGAGATGTCATGCTGTTTTGGTTGGTGAAACATGGGAGAGCTAACACACACACACACACACACAAACATGCAGAGCTGCTAAATGAAAGAGATCTTTGAGGTGCAGCTCAGATAGACAGACGGGCTAATCGTTGGCACCGGAGCTTTGAGCAGAGTGTCCGAGCGTTTACTCTCTCTCTCTCTCTCTCTCTCTCTCTCACACACACGCACACACACACACACACACACACACACACACACACACACACACAGGCACATATACATTAGTCAATGTCTGCTTAAATCCCAAACCAACTAAACGTTCACACCAAATGAAACACGGAGTTTGTCTCATTTCTCCGTCAGCTAGTCATTTACATTTTTAACATGCTTGCGGCTTCACCCCCTGGACACGCACACCCATACATATGGACACACACATACACACATTAAGGTGTATAACTGGAAGTAGTGTTTTAATGGACACTTAATAAAAAGTGGCTGTTTTTCAATTAGAGGACTGTGGCTTAGGTTGTGTGAAGGACTGCTTGTCCTGGGCTGAGGGCTAAAGTAGGTGAATACTGACAACATACTGCACTTCAGCTGTATTTAATACCACTGTTTAACCCATTTAAAGCTGTGTGGACTGAAGCTGCATCAGTTCGCTCTAAACCAGTTGGATATCTGACACCTTTTTGGGTTAATGCAGTAATTGGTGAAACCCTTGTTGATTTGTTTGAGCTCTTAAATGCTGTGTGACAAATGTGGTATGCAGCCAGAGATGACTTGGAGGTCAGTATGTCAGTCAGAAAAAACACCATTTTGTTTTTGTACTGTTTCTTCCTCCTCTTTGACCCCAGATTTTCACCATGCTCAAAAACATTTGAAACTTACTGCCTGCACTTAGAGACCAAATGAGATTTGACACGTGTTGGTAGGTACCAGTAATCCTGAGCAAGGTCAAAATGACGCATTCTTTTTTTTTTCTCCACTTTTGGGAAATTGTTCCTTGTCATTCCCTTACTCAATTATCCTGATTTGACCCCAGTTTAGATGGATGAGTGGGCGTCTTTCAGAAATGCCAAACAAAATTTAAAGTAAAAGAATTAGCTGAGAGACAAGTTACAGTGGTATAAAAATGGTTCGTGTGATATACAGGATTTAAGCTTGTGTTTGGACCTTAGCTGCAAAACTTTCTGGGTCATCTGACACAATATTCTGAACATCCCAGCCAGGATTTTAACAAACGATCAATGTAAGACTGAATATCATTGACATTAGAGACTATTCTTGGGCAGATTTTGCCTGTAATGACAGTAAAGGTGAAGATAGACAGGAGATGTGGGGAGAAGGGGCAAAGACATACAGCAAGGGGCTGCAGGTTGCAATCAAACCCCAATCGCTGCAAGGGGGTCAGCCTGTAAGGGGAGCACACTCTACCAGGTGAGCTAGAGGTCACCCTGGTAATTAAAGTTTATTTTTTCCATAGACATCAGATGGCCTCAGCAGGTAGGGACCACTCTGGTCTACTGCACATAGCCCACCAAGCTCTAGTTCTGTTTATTACATGGGGGAGCCATAGCCACCCTAGTAATTGCTGCCCCCACCCCTGTGAAAAATTTCCTGTGGGGCCACTGCACCTGACACTAGGATCAAGAGGGTTGCTGGTTCGATCCCGGGTGTGGGAGCCCTTCTGCGCAGAGTTTGCATGTTCTCCCCGTGTCACCGTGGGTTTTCTACAGGTAGTCCGGCTTCCTCCCACAGTACAAAGACATGCAGATTGGGGACTAGGTTAATTGGTGACTCTAAATTGTCCGTAGGTGTGAATGTGAGTGTGAATGGTCATCTGTCTCTATGTGTCAGCCCTGGGAGAGTCTGGCAACCTGTCCAGGGTGTACCCCGCCTCTCACCCAATGTCAGCTGGGATAGGCTCCAGCCCCTCTGTGACCCTCAAGAGGATAAGTGGTTAGAAAATGGATGGATGGATATATATATATATACGGTATATATATATACAAGGTTTTTGTTTCTTATTTATCTATTCATGCACACACACACACACACACACACACACACACACACACACACACTAATGGCAGGAAGCTACCATGCAGTGTGTTGGTCTGACCATCAGGAGTGGGAACACTTCAACAAGTGAATAGGAGGACCCTGTGATCAGTAGACAGCTGAGCTGAATCAAGAGTTCTTATGAGTGTGCGGCTACCTTTACATACCTTTAAATGATACTTCAAAGTTGGGTCACAACTTTGAAGACAAGAATGAACCATCATATTCAACCTTTAGTTTATCAGAGCGAATCTCAATGTGCATCAACCAGATCTTGATCTATGATTTCTACTATTGATTACAGGAAAGTTCCTGAAGGAAAGAGGCACTGTGGCTTTGCTGGTGACCATGGATATGACAATAAGATCAACAGCATGCAGGTAGTGTTGATCATCTGCAGTGGCATAAAGAAGAATTATGGTTGGTTTTGGATATCCGGTGTAGCAACATTTATTATACTTTGATTGTATAAACTGTGGGCCTGCAGGATGCCCATCACTGAAACTGAATTGTTTAATAACCAAAGCACACAAGTATAAAGTCTTAAATCAGAAGCAGTGATATACTAACTGTTGTTAATTATTGTGACACATCAGTTGACTTGTGCCATCAACTTTCATTTGCAGACTATTTTCTTGGGTTATGGACCAACATTTAAGTTCAAGACTAAAGTTCCCGCCTTTGAAAACATCGAGCTTTATAATGTCATGTGTGGTAAGGCATGTTTTTGTGTGTTTGGGTCTGAGTGTGTGTGTTTGATTCTAGTCATCTTAGATCAGCCAAAATGTGTTTAAATTAATATGTGAGTGTGTTTTGTGTACAACTATCTCCACTTACTCTTTAAGCTGACATGAAACTGATCTTTCCCACTCTCAGATCTTCTGGGTCTGAAACCAGCTCCCAATAATGGGACCCATGGCAGTCTGAACCACCTGTTAAGAAGTCCCTCCTTCAGACCCACGATGCCAGAGGAAGTTTCCAGGCCAGTAGCCTCCGGTCTTGTTCCTGCAGGAACAGACGACCTGGGCTGCAACTGCGACGACAAGGTCAGCCATGATGACTCAGTGGCAGACCTGCGCCCGGCTTCCTGTAGACGGCTGAAAGGAATACTGTCTTTTAGGAGATTGGCTTGTCTGTCACTTAGATTAGTAATGACATCAGTGAAACCAAAATCATCCTGGTCTCCATCTGCTGCAATGTTGCTCCATGCTATCTATGCTAACACTGTATACAGCAAGCTAAAATTCTTGTTTTGCTCAATCGAGTCTGGTAGCTTTGACAAGAGCGGAGATGGGAAACTGAAGCCATTAATGGCTGTCCCATCACAAAGTGCTGTCTGAAAGCAAGGTTAAGTGGTGAAAATATTTATGATATAGCGAATGCTTCAGCTATTGATCTTTTTTTTAGATGGCTAAAATACATTTTGTTGCTGACCCCTCTACAGCAGTACATTACTTAGCTTCCGTGTTGTACTCCTGCCTGCCTCTCCAAACTGGGGGTGTGCCGACCACCATCTACTGTATGTAATACACTGACTATGGATAAGTAGCTCATACAATACCACTTCAGAAGATCCATACTATCCCGTTAATGCTAGAGAAAAAGTTGAGGGCCATTTGCTGTGAATATCTACAGCAAATCACATGGTTTTGAGGCCTCACCAGTATTATTTTAAAGTGGCAGGGAGTGCTCTCCTTGTTTCCAAAGGAAAAGTGGGCCATGAGCGTACAGCAAAGATTACAGGGCACCTGACAAGAAGTTGATAGGATTTCATTGATTAGGCAGTATAAATCTACAGGTCATATAATGGAGACTAGGTTTAATTAGTAAAAATTTGGTCCTCTTAGTGAGTTTGATGAATGTCCCTGGAGCACTGGAGCTAATGGTGATACATGGATACTTTTGGTGTATGTTTGCAGTTGATCAACAAGCCAATCTCCAAAAATGATAATGTATTACTGGAACGTGAAGAAAATGATGCAATGACAGCTTTTTGAGTCTATGCAAGAAGGCAGTTTGCTGTGATAAAGTTTGGTTGGGGGCACAAAATGATATCAAATGCTCCTGTCCCCTCGCTTTCAGTAATTAGCTTACAGCGTATAAAAATGATGAAATACTGTTGACATAACTGTGGGTAAAACTGCCCTTCAGCATGTTCTCAAACAGTTTCCTGTATATCATGACCTCTGTTGTTGCACATTATGTTACAGCTCCCTCATCTGTGATCACAGTCAAATAAGAATTACACAACACTTAATTGATTCCCCCAGGCCAAATTAGACCCTCACAAAGTTCACAGTATGACTAACCTGACTGAGCTGCTGGCCTGAGGCCAACCATTCACATTTCACCATGAGACCACTTAACATCCCCTAAAAAAAGAAGCACTGCTCACTCTCCCTGTGTTCCTGCAGGATCAGTAACTCTGTATTTATCTTTGTATTTTATTTTAGTCTGTATTTAAAAAGGACAATGCACAATATATTTATTGTACCAGATGTAGCTAAAAGCTCATTTCCATAGTAGTCTGTAGCCTCTAAATTACAAAACTGGTATTTTGTAATGCTTTGATTTAACAGATATGAGGGAGCTATAAGGAACTATCCAGTGTCCCTCCAATCAGTCCAAAGATTGACTCCGAGTGGAGTCAATCTTTGGACTGAGATGAGATGAGAAAGATGAAACATGAGGACCAGTTGGTTTATTTTATCGCTCATGTGATCTGCTGACTTTTTTGGCTGCTAATTCATTCAAAATTCTGCTTTTTTTTTTTTAATTATTATGTTGTCGTTTTTTTGAATATGTCTAAGAACTTGCAATTGTGTACAAATCTGGTATTCCGAAGCAAACCCCAGAGATAACAATTGATCCATCCTCTGACATGTACACTAAAAAAAAGAAAATCTTCAGGTCAAATGGGAATTTAAAGTAATTCAGAGGTTCCTCGTGTATTCAAAAGTTTTCTGAGAATGTGTCTGTTGTACTTGGGTACAAGCTCTTATTTCCATTTGAAGGTGACGTTGTCATGACTGGATCTCTAATGTATGTAACATAAAGCTAATACTTAAAGGGGAGCATCACCTAAATTAAGGAACTCCAATATTTTATTTCCATGGCCTAGGAAGGTTCAATCAACATTTGTGAACATGAGCTAGATTTTGATTTGGGAGAGAGTTGATCATGTTTACCAGTATTTTTGGGCTGTCTTGGAACATAGGAATAACCTATGAATTTTGAAAAACATCTAGTTCCCCTTTAACTAGGCCAGTAAAGTTATGAAGGTTAAGTTTAAGAAAAGAAACATGGTTGTGCATCATCATGCTATTGACCAAACTGGACTTACGTAGGTTAGGTTTAGGAAAAGAAACATGGTAACAACGTACCTTAAAATAGCTCAAAGGTCACGGAGGGCACAAACAGGGGAAAGTCCTGTGTTTGTTTGACCATCCACCACCGTAATTTGCCTCCACACGTGAACTTTTGCACTTTATACTCCCTCCCTCTTTACTCCTGTCAGCACATTGGCCATGTGATTACAGCCTTCCTGATTATGATATATACAAATTACTGGCTCATGATTTCGTTGTTTATACATGAATTCTGGTGCCTGTGAGAACAACCTGCTCTTTTTGAGGTTTTCTTTTTTTTTTTTTACTTTTCTGTTTTGTTTTTTAAGTACAGTTGAAGTTGTCTTTTTACACAGCAAACCTGTAAAAAGAATCATCTGCATGGGCCTATCACCCATGGTTCATTTGTTATTTGTGTGTTTCTGTGAGTGTGTGTGTGAATGAGCCTGTTTGACATGTAAAATTTGTATCTAAGTACCTGATTGCCTTGTTGCATCTTTGCTTACTGCTGCAGAGCTGGAGTCAGTTCACCTTCAAGTCAAGTCAGTTCAACAAAAATGTGTAGTGAATTTATTCACAAAAATTCCATCTCTCTTTTCCCTAAGCTTTATTGTTCACATTTGACAACTATCTCGATCTAGACATTGTCAGTGTAATTCTGAGATCTACTTCCTGATTGGCTTGTATTGGAAGTGAGTTGGACCCAGCCCTCCTCTGCAGTGTTTCACTTTATGTATGCTGTGTTTGTGATTCCCATGTAGATCTCTGGCAAGAGATTGTTTCAATCTCCGATCTTTTTGCAGTTGCGTGTAAAAAGTAGGGGCCAGAGAGGTTTGAAAGTGACCCTTGTACGAGGCTATAACCTGGAGTCACTCTGGCTCTGTCTCTTACAGAACAAAGTGGAGGAGCTAAACCAGCGACTGAGGCAAGCTATGGATGGTCAGTCTTTTATGATGCTGCTGAAAATAGATAAATGAGCTGTCTTTAATGCAGTTTATCAGCCTCTGAGGATGAAGAAACTCACTCAAAGTTAAATACTCTGTGAAATAAATAAGTTATCAAGTACACCTGCATCATGATCCTATGCATACAGTGATGTGGCATGCCAAAGTTTTTAGTTTTCACATGTTGCTGTTTGGTCACTTCACTGTAGATTGCAGTGTTACAGACCTGTGTCTCCTCTGCTGTGTCCCCTCTGTGCTCTCCCTCTCTCAGACAGCAGGAACTTGCCGCATGGTCGACCTGCTGTACTCTTCCGTACCAAATACTTCATCCTCCACCACAGTGACTACATCAGCGGCTACAGTGAGGCTCTCTCTATGCCTCTGTGGACCTCATACACAGTCAGCAGACAGGTACTCTTCATCCTTTGCTCTTTGTCTTGGTGGATATTATTGTAAATATTTACTGTTGGATGGTGTAGTAAAGTTTCAGTCTCTTTTACCTTTTAAACGTTGTTCATGACTCTCCTCAGGTTGAGGATGTCTAACAACATTAGAATTTCAGGTTGTGTGGACATTGACATTTTGATGTTTTGCAGACGTTGGCTTTTGTTAAACATACCTTACAACTAAATAATGTTATTCTATGTCAGTGTGATGTTGGCATGAGATATTAAGTTGATGCTGAGTTTTGGTTACTTAACAACACAACTTAAAACCAACAAAATATCAGGGTTATCTGTCGTCGGTATTCTAAGTCAAATTGACGTTGGCATTAGACTTTGTCTTGACATTGAATTCTGGTCACCCGACTTCACAACCTGATTTCAACCAGATATCACCATCTGATAACGTTGGTGACCTGCTAACAGCTTTTAGCCAAGTGGTCTCAAGTTTTAATGTTAGTTGACCTATGTCCTCTTTGTGCATGTGTGTGGTCCTTCAGGTAGAAGTGCTCCCTCTGCCTGAAGCTCTCTCCAACTGTGTGAGACCTGATAGCAGAGTCCCTCCAGCCTACAGTCAGTCTTGTACCAACTACAGAGCAGACAAACAGATCACCTACGCCTTCCTGTACCCACCACGTGAGTTTACCACTGTGGCCTCAACCCTGAAACACTGAATTACAGTAACACTGTAGGAATTATGAAATCCATCAGTGTGGAATATTCTCAGGACTATATAAGGTTTTCTGTTACTGTAAGGATTTTTGAGTTAGCAGGAGCTAAGATGAACACTAACGCTGTGTGGTCAGGCACAATGAGACACCTAGGAGGGATCCACTGCAATGATGACTTGTTGTGTTGCATATGAGGAAAGAGACATCAATCAGTGCTGTTGCTGCTGATTTTCATATTTCCATCAGTCAAACAATTAATATCAGGGAGCCCAGGGTTCTGCTGTGGAGGTCGTAGGAAAGGGCTTACAACTAGACTCAATCCTCCTTCCTTCTCTTCCTCAAACAGCCCTCCTCCTCCCTGCTCAATCACAATAACCCTGTTTATCTCAAAAACTGTTAAGTTTGTCAATTCTATCTCCTCCCACATCTTTATTTTTTTTTGCTTGAGTGACACCAAATTTGCTACACCACATCTTTTGACTGCCCTCAATGTATCAAAATGCAAACCACACTGTAAGACAGCTACTGCAGATATTTGTAAAATAAATCTCCTATGTTCATTAAAAAAGGACAAAGTAGAAGTAGTGTGGTAAATTTCAGAATTTTTTGTCAAAAGCTGAATTATTGACAAAATTATTATTATATTATGTAATTAAATTACATCCTCATGTAAACTATAGCAGTCAATGATAAAACATCTCAAAATTCTCAGAATCTTGTCTTGTTAACTGAATTCTGACACTAGATTGAAATCTGCCTTTTATGTGCAACCCTGGTGACTGTTAAAGTCATAGTGTGAAACCAATCAATGGTTTCTCACTTGGCAGGTAGCTCAGCAAGATCATCTGTGCGTTCCAATCCCCATAATACCATACTATAGTATGGCAGAAGAAGATTTAGTATGTCCCAGTACATAGTATGTCAAATGTAGTATGCCAAAAATACCAGGATGTTCTACTACATCCGGTCTGATTTTGCAGTATGCAAGCCAGCATGATTTTCTGGCTATTCTGACCTACAGTCCACATGTAAAACAACTGGTTGGCTGCATGCTCTGTGTCTCATGATTTTTACAGTTCGGTTCTCATTCTCATATTTCCCTTACTGTTAAAATCTGTTGTAATATTAAACTGAGATCTAACACCATCACTGCAGGTGAAATCATTTTAATCGCATTTCATTTTTCTTTATTGACAGAATTGTCCTCAACCATAGACAAAAAATATGATGCTGTCCTCATCACCAACACCGTCCCCATGTATCCTGCATTCAAGAGTAAGTCAGTCAGGATGTCTGGAGTCCTGCTGAAACCTTGTATGTTGTGATTTTGACATGCTTTCCTGCATAAAAATGAAGCCTCATCAGTACCGATATGACACTGATATATTCACTGCTCCTCTGTATCGTCCATCACCTGTCATCCTGTCTTCCATATTTCCTTCTCTCATCCCTCTGTTCGTCTCTTTCTTCCCTCTCTTATCCACCTGCCTGTCTCAGGAATATGGGGTTACTTCCAGAGAGCACTGGTGAAGAAATATGCCACTGAGAGAAACGGAGTCAATGTGCTCATTGGACCCATATTTGACTACGACTATGATGGTGTCAGAGACTCAGCTGACAAGATAAGAGAGTGAGAACATTCATTTTGTTTCACTTCTGATTCAGCTTCAAACAGCAACAGAAAGTTATTTCTTAATGTTTCAGTTGTTGAAATTATTCAGTAGTAGTGAAGGCTTCACTGTGATCTAAAGAAATAATGGAAAAACAAAGAATATATTTTCCATCTAATGGGCTTAAATCATTTAAAACTGACAGTGCCACATGCTGTATGTGTTAATATTACCATAATGATCAGTCCTAAATAACTCAGCCATACAATGTCATTATTATGTGATTCATGCCATTTCTTTCTTGGAAAAAAAAATCAGATATTCAGCACTGTTTATAAAGAATGCTTTATAGAATAAATCTGGCTAGCGGGGAGAAGTTTATTCAAATGCAACAAGTTGTGCTCAAGTGTTTTGTTTGCCCCTTACTGCAGGTATGTAAGTGGAACGATACCAGTCCCCACACACTACTTTGTGGTCCTGACCAGCTGCTTAGACTTCACACAGGCTGCAGACTCGTGTAGCGGCCCACTCAGCAGTGCTGCCTTCATCCTGCCACACAGATCCAGCAATGACGAGACCTGTAATGTAAGGAACATCACACCTTTTAATGCACATGCATCATATTTAATGACACTCATATACACACAGAAAAGAGACTGCACACAGTGTATGACCTCTTGGATACTTTACTCTGCATCAACTAGTCACCCTGAACAGAGCATTGCCCCTAAACAGTTTGTGTAGCACAACCCAAGTGTATGTACATATGTATATACGTATGTTAGAATTCCCTCAGTGTTCACTGTTCAAGTTTTTACCAGAGGTCTCTTCCTTTCCAAAATAAGCACACACAGTGATTAAAACTGGTACAGACACTGAATAAAGCTGTTTTACATTAAAAATCAGTGTTTCTGTGACACTGTTTGGTACGGCAGAGACTGGAACTGACTTACCACTAATGTTTGTTCAGCTTGTTTCTCTGATAACTTAAAATCCAGACATGCGATGACTCATATCATCCACTTAAAACATATTAGTTTTATTTGTTTCTAATGTGTGTGTGCTTCTTACTGCCTCCCTGCAGAGCTCAGAGGAGGAGTCCCGCTGGGTGGAGGACCTGATGAAGATGCACACAGCTCGAGTCCGAGATGTGGAGATCCTGACGGGCTTGGACCTGTACCGCAGAACGACCCGGAGCTACCCTGAAATCCTCTCGCTCAAGACCTACATGCACACCTACGAGAGCGAGATCTGACACCTGCCGGCTCTGTTAATGTTAATGACCTTTTCCAACCGTGGTGGATGTATGTGGTACAAGGAAGAGATGCGACCATCTCTGTCACACTGAGCTACACCAGCTTTAGCTGTCGCTGGGTGCTATGGCTGCAGCTGCTCTGCAGCATCCATGTTGTGGCCCTTTCACCGAGTATATGGTTTCATCTCATTTTATCAGTCTGTCATAATATAGCTTTAACACCACTGAGCTATTAGCTGTGGTACTGTCCACTTAATTCTGTTACACAAAAAAAACCTCCACATTGCAAACATGACCTACATGCAGTGTAATTCTGGAATTTTAAAACACTTAACTATGCAGTTTTCATTATTAAATCTATACCAGTAATTTTTTGTCATGATGTGTAAATATCAGAGATGTGGAATATTATGTGACACCGCCATGTTTTTAAAAAAATTTGTGATTGATCACAGCTTTATTTATAAAAATGCAGCATGGTAGCAAAATATAAACTATTAGGTCTTAAAATTAGATTTGTAGGGCCTCAGTACAAGACAGGGCCACATGATCAGATAATAACTGCAGTACAGTAGACAGTAGCCGTCTATGAGATGCAGTGAACTGGAGGTATGCCACATCTGTCACATTCACAAATACTCTATGTTTTAGCTATGTTACTCATGGGCCTTTCAAAAAGTCATTAACACATGCTGCAGATGATTCCCTGATAAATATCCAGGAGCAGTTTTTGAGGGGTTTTTGTACAGTATATAAACATTCAAATTATTTTCTTGCAAACGATATTCCATATGTGTAAATAATGTTACATTTTAAAGTGGTAAAAATATTCAATTGCACTACAAAGCCAGCAACAGAATCAGTCTTAGAACAAACCATCACCTCAGTAGAACGGCAGGATTTATAAACTCGTGCACATTTTCAGTTTTCTTTAGACAGTGATCCACTCTGTTTGATGTGAAGTTGACTCATACTATGTCTCTATTGAACCGTTTCTCATGATGTTCAGTGATTAAGAAGAAATTGCCTTTATTTTTTAATGAAATGATAATGCAATGTCGTGTATGTGTGTGTGTGTGTGTGTGTGTGTGTGTGTGTGTGTACAGTGTGTATATGTTGAACTCGAGATATTTTCTGTTTGTGTTTGCCTGTTGATTGTGTGTGCATGTGTGTTGTTGACTTTTTGTTCTGTGCACAAAAACAATAATGTCAATGCTGATGATTTATAAATGTTTCCTAAAACAGTTACCACCTGTGAGACCTATTTATGCTTTATGAAAATGTCATCACAATAAACAAATGTTTTTGCTAAATCCAGTGTGGTGTGTATGAAGTGAGTCTGGCTGCTTCTCAGTCAGCCCTCCAGCTGTGGGCTGCACACAGCAGAGCCTTAGAAGATACAGTGTGGGTATTCAGCAGTAGTAGAGCAAAGTGAACACAATCAGTCCGTCTGCGTGGTTGTATGATGAATGTAACATGAAATACACTGACGTTACAATACGCAGCAGCCTCAAAAGCCACAGGAGCCTGCCAACAGTAGCACATATAAAAGATCTATCCCTCTGTTCAGTACTGCCACCATGTGGAGACTGGTGGTAGAACATGTGGCCAGAGTAAAACCCCCTAAACTCACATTAGAGAGGAAAATTTGTGCCCAGACGGTTTCACTGGGTAAGGTGAGAAAGTTGTGTTTTCTGGAAACGCTTGTGTGACTTCTGAGAACTCTGAGGGACAGCTTGATGAGCTGTCACACAGCATGGTGAAAGTTAACATTAGGTGAGATCAAGTTAGAAAACAAGAGTTGGGGTAAATCATAGAGACAGGAAGGTTAGGAGGATTAAAATAATACTATTCCTCCTGTTTTCCTTTACTTAGCACACGTCTCTCTCTGCCAGTGGTGGATCTTTCTATAGCCTACATGGCCAACAGTACCCCACCTTTATTTGTTTTTGTTTTTTTTTTTACATTTGAAAAAAGAGAAACGGTGAAGTGGAGTGTATGTGGAGAGTTCATTCATTCACACATTCATTTAAGGAGTTGCAGGGGGCCACAAGCTTTTTTATGCATGGAGACCTCAGTTAGCAGTGTTAGCAAATATTTTGGGGGGCATTTTTTGTCTTCATCACAGACAGATAGAAACAGATGAGTAGGAGGAGAGAGATAGAAAGATCTAGCAAAGATCCCTGATCAGACTCAAACTGGAGACATTTCAGGTCAGCATCTTATATTAATCAGAGGAGATGGTGGTAGCTGTGGTGTAATGTCATTAAAAAAATGTATATTGACCCTCCCCGGAGCTACAAATATGTTTCCTTGAGCCTCCCTGAGTGACTGGGGGAAAATACATGACTCTCCCTCCACCATTATAACCATATTTTTTAAGGATAGACCGATATATCGGGCCGATATTTGAGTTTTTTACTTGTATCAGCATTGGCCGATACGCGCGTGGGTTTGCAGATTTATTTTTCCCTGGCATGATTTACAGACAGGTATCCACGGGCAGCTCTGTGTTGCTGGAAGACCCTGCAGCGCACATGCAGCGAATCCTACTGTGTACAGTAGTTGTTGTTTTATTTATGCTTCAGCTTAAATATTTGTTTATTTTATAAAGACATTACTGGAAGATTTAAGAGCACTGAACTCTTTTTTTTATTTGAATGTACAATAATAATAATAATAATAATAATAATAATATTCTACCTGTTCTACCTCAACTTTCCATCTTGTTTTAGTATTTTTTACTGTTCAATAAATGTTTCTTATTTTAAACTTGAGACCTGTAATATTTGTTATCATTGTGTCTTTTTTTTTATGTAAATTGAGGGAGCAAAAGCAGTATCGGCCCCAAATATCGACTCAAGAAAATCGGCAGTTCATAATCGGTCATCGGCTAAGGATGATGGAAAAAAATTGGTATCGGCATCGGCCCTAAAAAATCCATATCGGTCTATCCCTAATATTTTTTAATATTCACAATGCAACAAGCAAACAATACAAAGAGAGTGAGATAAACTTGGCACATTGGCTTTTATTAGCTTTAAATAATATACCCTTTGATGATCATAAGTTAGAAGTTAAAAGCTGAAAATGAAACCCTGGATCTGTAAAAAGGTCTACTATTGTCAGGCATGAGGGATGCAGAATTTAATGTGTTTTACAGGATCTGTTAAGTGCAAACAATTTATTTTTGGCAAATGTTTAAATGGGACATGTAGAATAAAGTGATTTAGATGAAATATCACTATTATAAGCTCAGATGTGGTTATGTTTCTGTTCACAGAAATGTGAAAATCTGACAATAATTTCTGTTTTCAGAGCGTATGAGAAGTGGTGTAATTTTGGAAATTCTGGCGAGCAAACCCAGCGGTTGATTTGGGGTTGAGATTTTATGTAAAATAAATAAAAAATTCAACCATTTAAAGTTGGCAAAAAACCCCAAAGTCTCTCCACAGTGCTTAATAAAGTATTTAAACGCCTCCACCCTCTCCCCTCTTTTGCATATCGAACAGTCCCTAAACAAGAATAAAATGACACTGCAGTGGCTCTAGGCATAGAGGACAAAAAAGACTCCAAAATCTGCAACCCTTGAATTGAGGGTAAAATAAAGTGATCGCGTGGCTCTGTAAATAGTTATTAATCTTTGTATACACTTAGTGCAATTTTTAGCCAACATTTCCGTGGTGACCTGAATGCGGCACGACGGTTGTGAAATGTGGAGAATGACGCGTTCAGAGTTGAATACTTTCACTTCCTATATTGCTGGAAGCTTCAGAGGACTGTTGCTGTAGCTGGGGTGTGTACAGCGGTGTACACTCAGTTACTCAATGGCTACTGCTGACATTAACAAGAGTTAGCTTCTTTTAACACTTTGTTTTTAAAGTGCAGTGTTGTCAGCGTAATGGTGTGGACGCAACACAATGGTAGGACTCACTTGTTTATGTAGCATTATGTTTGTGTTGGAGCTCAGCAGGCGACAGTTAGCTTTTATCTGAGATAACAGAAACAAACACAGCTGATGTCGCCAAACAGCGGTTATTTCAATATTTGTAAGTGTGAATTCAGCTGTCATATTTCGCAGGTGTTCTGTCCACAAACTCTCCAGTGTTCAACACAGAGACAGATTTGTTTATGAGCTTTGATAGTTGGCAGGTACTCAGACTGACTGAAGGAGTGTCACTTTGAGTTGGTGTGTAATAGTGTTACTAACCGGTTCTTCTTCATTTGATAAACAAAATAGGAAGCATTCAAATATTTAAGAAGCTGCTGTGGCACAAAAGAGGGAGAGTTATGTATAAATATTAGTCATAATTACTTTACAAGTGAATTAATTCAAAGTATTTATAAAATTAATTTGTCAAAAATGATAAACAAGTTTTGGGCAGTTGTCATTAAACAAAGTTCTTGTTAGACCCTTTTTTTGTTTATTTACCAGGGGTGGGGGAAAAAATGATAGTATCGCGATATTTTTGTGTGGCAATATCATATCGTTACACGTACACTAAGTATTGATTTTTTTAAGGTATATAAATGATTAATATTACAAATACAAATTAAACTTTTTCTAGCCTATTAGAATATCATAATCAGTAGCTTTTTCAGTCCACTAGATACATTTTGCTGCAATAAAAATGACTGAAGGTGAACTACTTTATTTTATTTGACTAAACTCTTGATGTTGACAGATGTCTTGAGTCATTGTGGCTGGTCCTGACTCTTAAAAAAGCACACAGTTTCCACGCCTTCTCATCTGTAATCCCACACAGGTTCTGCAGTAAATATGGGTCAGAGAGAAGAAGACAAGGTGTGCTGTCTTAACATTCTCACCTACCACAGAGAGCTGCTGGTGTCGAGGCTGAGGAGCATTCAGTGCATCCTGGACAACCTGTTGGCCTGCGGCTTCATATGTGAAGAGGATGTTGAGATCATACAGCGAACTGCCACCAAGACGGATCAGGCAGGGACACCAATAATATACGTTAATAATGGCCATTTGTTTTGTTTCTATTGAAAATACCTATAAGGACATACTATTTCTCTGTAAATTATCTACTGGTTGAAAATCTCAAATAAAGTAGGACAGTTGTGAAGTTGTAACCAACATGACATTCTTTCCTGTCATTATTTTCTAGGTGCGCAAAATCTTGGAGCTGGTCCAATGCAAAGGCGAGGAGGCCTGTGAATTCTTCATTTACATCATATATAAAGTATGTGATGCCTACAAAGACCTGCAGCCATGGTTGAAAGAGATAAACTACAACCCAAGCAGTGATGTAACGCTGATAACAGTGGTTAACACAGATCCCAGTAAGTACTATAAGAACTAATGCTGCTCTTTGCCTCCAACATGATCTTTTTTATGCTTCATAGATAATATATAAAGATGTTTGTGTCACTAAAAGGCCCATCTGTCTGTCTTAGTTTTGCTCTGTTAGACTATTGTATACGACCACAAATCAATCACACCTGTTTACAAATGAGAAAAACATGGCTTAGTTTGTGGTTCTACAATAAGTCCTACCTTTATGAAGATTATCATTTTCATTGTGGAGGCCATAGTTTTTGCGTTGCTGTGGTATTGTACTGCATCTTACAGAGAGGGGTTTCTTCTATTCTGTCCATAGTTAGATCAATGAGTGAAGACACGGGTAGAAAAGTAAAAATATACTGTTGCAAGAAGAGGTCTTGCATTCAAAATGCTTAAGTAGGAGACTGAGTACAGAAGCAGCTACGTTTATTTTATATATTAAGATTAATGCTGCACCCACATGCTCATCAGACAGTCCCATTTTCTGAGTTGGAAGGTCGTTCATGTTCATGACATTTAGGTCCTAATGTGGCAACAACATGGACGCTACAATGAAGGGAGTGTTTAGAAAACATGTCAATAGCAGTTTGATGTTTTATATTACCAAGAGATTTTATCCTGAACTTGTTGCTGCACCAGTGTATCCTCTAAAACTACTAAAATATTGCTATACCTGACTTATGCTAAAATATATCTGTTACAACTAATCTATGTCACTCTACATGGACAGCAACTTACAGTTACAACCTAATACCATAATATAAATGATGTGAGCAAAAAATTGACATGTAATATGTGATTTAATAAGAAGTTTATTACCATCAGCCAAACACTTAAATTTCATCCACCATGTTTCTGCACTTATGACGCCAGTTTGGCAACTCGTGCACCAACATTTTTGCTGACGCTCCAAGCTGTTGTTCCAACTTCATGTGAATATTTCCAGTCAGGAACAATTTTTTTTCTAATTATTCCATCACCACCTGAATGCGGGGTGAAGTCCCCCTCCAGCTAAAATACTCTGATATGAGTCATATTTTAAAACACATAAAAAAATAAAATAAAATAAATAAATAAATAAATAAATAAAAAGGGCCTTTCTCCAGTGCTAACATGGCACTACTAAAGCTAGACTGGTGATTGGTGGAAGAGCAGTGTGCAGCAAGATGGCTAGCGTTAGCATTAGAGGAAACATTAGAGATTTAGTCAGACCCAGACTCAGATTAGGAATCTGTTGTACACCTTTTTCCTGTATTAGACAGTGACTGGCTTCTGTTTTAATGACATACCTAATCTATCTTGCCTGGCATATGTTTGAATCTCAGATTTCAGGTGAGTGCATAGACATGGAACCCTTTAGAAATGTAAAATGAAGTCACTATAGTAATGTTCAGACATTTTGGGGGACATAAACAGAAGAAAAAAAAAAAAAAATTTTAAGTGGAGGGGGACTCATAAACGATTACTGATAGACTAATGTTTAATTAGAATTTTAAAGGAATACTTCACCCAAAGACAACCACTCTGTAAATAAATTAGCATTGTTACCTTGAATTCCTGAAGAAAACTTTCTTTTTCTCCCATGCCTCGATGGAAAACGGCAAACATATTGATTTAGTGATTGATTGGAGACCACGTTTAACAACCGAAAGACTATATAAAAAAAAACATGTTTAAAAACTTATCCAGTCGTACGCTCAGTACTTCCCAAACACATGCATTTTTGCAAAAAACCCTTAGTATCGGAGTCTGCCTTTGAAGAGAATACGCTGTAGATAAGTTTCACTTTCAGTTCAGTTTCAATGGTTAGGTTTCACCAAAATGCATGTGTTTGGGGAGTACTGAGCATACGACTGGATACATGAGACTTGGGTTGTACTACATGAGCTCTGTGAAAGCTTGTAAATGAATTCTTTGTTATTTGTTGTTCTATTAATCGGAACAGTTATGAGTCACAACAAATTTGTGCCCAGGCGGTTTCACTGGGTAAGGTGAGAAAGTTGTGTTTTCTGGAAACGCTTGTGTGACTTCTGAGAACTCCGAGGGACAGCTTGATGAGCTGTCACACAGCATGGTGAAAGTTAACATTAACGTATACGAACAATTATGAGTGAAACACTTAGCCTATCGTGATTTAAACATTAAATGAGAAGCTCCAACACTGACTGACAGCTGACTCCACTCATAGCACTGGTGATCTGAACCGGTCAGTGGTCACTTTTAATGCGCAAACTTATATGGGACGTATTTGCCCCGTTACCGTTTGAGCTCGTTTCGCGGCTGCCGGCTGCATCCGCCTCCCTCAATACTGAACCAATTTTAGAATGAGTTGTACCTATGAATCATACGCACACATACACATGGGGAAATAGGGCCCAGGTTGAAAAATACCGAAGTTGTCCTTTAACTTTGTCGTCTTGAGGGAAGTTTTGTTTGTAGCAAAGATTAAAAAATAAAGATGAAACACAAAAATCCCTAACATATTCATTTTTGGATTGGATAAAATTTTCAGGTCCTAAATAGAAAATACTGGATCACTGGACCATATAACACCGTTTGCAGCTTCTGTGTTCCACTAATTCACTGTCTGTCTCCCTGCTTAAGTCAGCAGGTATTGTGAGAAGTTGAAGCATGAGATGAGCCGGGACACCTGCTTCATCATGTCATACGGCCAGCGAGAGGAGACCAGGCTAGAGGACCTTTACACTGACACACTGATGGAACTGTTGAATGACTGCAATGAAAGTCTGGGCTTCTTAGAGAGTCTGGACCAGCTCCTGGGAGACCATGCAGTCTTCAATCCCCAAGGTGAAATCATCTATGTTATGGGGGATGCCGGTGTGGGAAAATCAATCCTCCTGCAGAAGCTTCAGAACCTCTGGTCCAAAAAGGAGCTGCAGACGGATGCCATCTTCTTTTTTAAGTTCCGCTGTAGGATGTTCAGCATCCTCAAAGAAACAGAGCAGATCTCCCTTAGAGACCTTCTGTTCAAATATAACTGCTACCCAGATCTTGATCCAGATAATGAGGTGTTTGATTACATCCTGTGCTTCCCTGAGAAGGTTCTTTTTACATTTGATGGCTACGATGAGCTTCAGATGAATGATCTGATGAATGTTCCTGAAGTGGTGTCACCAGATGTGAAGGCACACCCCTTCCAGCTGCTCATCAGTTTGCTCAGTGGGAAGCTACTCAAGGGCTCCCAGAAGGTGCTGACGGCCCGGACAGGGACTGAGATCCAGAGTAGGGTGATCAGAAAGAAGGTGGTTCTGCGGGGATTCTCCCCAGCTCATCTCAAGACCTACATTGATCTGCACTTTAAGGAGCAGGAGCACAGAGAGCTGGTTTCAGTTCAGCTGGATGCTAGCCCCCACCTGTGTGGCCTCTGCTCCACCCCACTGTTCTGCTGGATTGTATTTAAGAGCTTTAGGCACCTGCACACCATGCATGATAGTTTCCATCTGCCTGAAACGTGCATCACACTGACAGACATCTTCCTGCTGCTGTCGGAGGTGTTCCTCACCCGCTCAGCCTCACCTGCGCCGTCTCTGCTGAAGAAAAGCACCCGATGTGCCTCTGAGACATTCAAAGCAGGGCTCAGGCCTCTTGCAGCATTTGCCAAACTAGCACTTCAGGGTATGGAGAGCGGTAGCTTCATTTGCACCCAAGAGGAGATCACTGCATGTGGCCTGACGGAGGAGGACCTGACGCTGGGCTTTCTAAGACCTGTCAGTGAGTATGATGCCAATGGAAGCCCTGCTACATTTGAAGTCCTCCATATCACCCTCCAGTCTTTCCTGGCAGCATTTGCTCTAGTGTTGGATGAGCAGGCTGCTGCCAGCTCCATCCTCAAGTTCTTCACAGAGTGCAGCAGGAAAAGAGAAGTCTCCTGTCTGCCGTTTAACGTCTGTGTCCGTGGCTCCTCAAAGCCCAGTGAGAAGAAGCCATTCACATCCAATGAGCACCTTCAGTTCACTAATCTGTTTCTGTGTGGACTGCTGTCCAAGGCTAACACTGGCCTGATTCAACATCTGGTATCTCCTGTGGTACTAAAGAAAAAACAGACCCTGCTAAAATCCTACCTGTCCACCAGTGTGAAGTCCCACCTCCACGGCTTACCCCACTACAACAGTGAAGACGGCAAGAAAGTTCATGTTTTGCCCAACTTCTTGTGGATGCTGAGGTGCATTTTTGAGACAGGGAGCAAAGACATCGCTCAGATGACAGCAAAAGGCATCACAGCGAACCTCATCAAGCTGGGTTACTGCGACGTGTACTCAGGTGACTGCACCGCCCTGAACTTTGTACTGCAGCACCGTCAGAAGCTCCTGGGCGTTGACATGGACAACAACAACATCAGTGACTACGGGGTGAAGCAGCTGAAGCCCTCCTTTTCTAAGATGACAGTAGTGAGGTAAGAAAAAAATGTATAAAAATATGTTTTACCTACCTCCTGCTCTCCACTGAGGGATGTTCACACTGATGTTATAACCAAACACTAACCAAACTGCTTGTCTTCAGATTGAGCGTCAATCGCCTGTCTGACAGCAGCATCGAGGTTCTTGCAGAGGAACTGTGTAAGCACAAAATTGTGGAGATGTTGGGGTGAGTAAGTATGTCAGTATGTTATTATGTATGACATCAATGAATGTTAACACTGATGCATCAGTGCATAAGCAGAATGTACTGTTTTAGCAACTCAAGTGAAGCTAGTTCTAATTAATTTACTGTTAGCTAGTTTAGGCCACTGATTTCCAACATAGGGGACAGGTCCCCCTCTACTTACTTACAACTTACTTCTATGTCATGGACAAGAAACAATTAATTGCACAGAATACAAAGCCCACAGAAAACAGCATTTGGAGTCTTGTGTCGGATTGATCCTGGCTTCATATGAGTAAGCCGAGAGAAAAAGTTCATTAGCTGCTAGGCCAATTTATGCAATGAGAAATAATGCTAGTAACATTAGCATGCTGTATTTGTAGGAAGAACATGTGGTCAAAGACAATTGTTTTGTTGGTGAACCTTAAGAGTTATAGTAGAGCTGAATTTTGTAACGTTACCATTGTTTAATGATGGTGTTGTTCCAACAGTTAAGGAAAAGTTTGTAAGCAGCTTGTAAGCACAATGTAAAATGTCATAGGCTTACGCTAGTAACATTAGCATGCTGTGTATTTGGGGAAAACGCGTCTAGCAAAAAGGACAAGTGTCTTGTTTGTGAACCTTGTGAGTAGTAACAAAGCTGAATTTTGTACTTTTGTTTCATGTTGTCACTACCAGGCCAGGTTTTTCTGTTTTAAGCACGAAGTTAGTTACAGTCAGGTCCATAATTATTTGGACAATGATACAGTTGTCGTCATTTTGGCTCTGTACACCACCACAATGGGTTTTAAATGAAACAATGAATACCTGCTTAAAGTGCAGACTCTCAGCTTTCATTTAAGGCTTTTTTCAAAAATGTAGTATGAACCGTGTAGGAATTACAACCATTTCTTCACACAGTCCCCCGACTTTAAGGGCTCATAAGTATTTGGACAAACTAACATAATCATCAATTAAACAGTCAGTTTTAATACTTGGTTGCAAATCCTTTACAGTCAATGACTGCCTGAAGTGTTGGACACATAGGCATCATCAGATGCTGGGTTTCTTCCCTGGTGATGCTCTGCCAGCCCTTTACTGCAGCCGTCTGCACTTCCTGCTTGTGTTTTGGGTGTTTTGCCCTCAGTTTTGGCTTCAGCAAGAGAAACGCATGCTCAGTTGGATTCAGGTCAGATGATATGACTTGGCCATTGCAGAACATTCCACTTCTTTGCCTTAAAAATGTCTTTGGTTGCTTTTGCAGTATGCTTCAGGTCAATGTCCATCTGCACTGTGAAGCATCGTCCAATGAGTTTTGAAGCATTTGGTTGAATCTGAGCAGATAATGGTGCCCCAAACACTTCAGCTTTCATCCTGCTGCTCTTGTCAGCAGTCACATCATCAATAAATACAAGAGAACCAGTTCCACTGGCAGCCATACATGGCCATGACATAACAGTACCTCCACCATGCTTCACTGATGAGGTGGTGTGCTTTGGATCATGAGCAGTTCCTTCCCTTCTTCCTTCTCTTGTCTTCCCATCATTCTGGTAGTTGATCTTTGTTTTATCTGTCCATAGTATGCTGTTCCACAACTGTACAGGCTTTTTAGATGGTTTTTGACAAACTCTAATCTGGCCTTCCATTTTTAAGGCTAACCAATGGTTTGCATCTTGTGATAAACCCTCTGTATTTATTCTAGTGAAGTCTTGTCTTGCTTACAAGAGCAGCAGGATGAAAGCTGAAGTGTTTGGGGCACCATTATCTGCTCAGATTCAACCAAATGCTTCAAAACTCATTGGACGATGCTTCACAGTGCAGATGGACATTGACCTGAAGCATACTGCAAAAGCAACCAAAGACATTTTTAAGGCAAAGAAGTGGAATGTTCTGCAATGGCCAAGTCATATCATCTGACCTGAATCCAACTGAGCATGCGTTTCTCTTGCTGAAGCCAAAACTGAGGGCAAAACACCCAAAACACAAGCAGGAAGTGCAGACGGCTGCAGTAAAGGGCTGGCAGAGCATCACCAGGGAAGAAACCCAGCATCTGATGATGCCTATGTGTCCAACACTTCAGGCAGTCATTGACTGTAAAGGATTTGCAACCAAGTATTAAAACTGACTGTTTAATTGATGATTATGTTAGTTTGTCCAAATACTTATGAGCCCTTAAAGTCGGGGGACTGTGTGAAGAAATGGTTGTAATTCCTACACGGTTCATACTACATTTTTGAAAAAAGCCTTAAATGAAAGCTGAGAGTCTGCACTTTAAGCAGGTATTCATTGTTTCATTTAAAACCCATTGTGGTGGTGTACAGAGCCAAAATGACGACAACTGTATCATTGTCCAAATAATTATGGACCTGACTGTAAATCCATTGATGTATAAAGAGAACTGGATACAGCGTTGGGGTGAGGCTTCGTTCATTCCTGTGGAAGTTGCACAGCCTTGCCAAAGCCAATAAAGTTTGACCTCCTGTGCATAAAATTACCCGGGTCTCCCACATCACTGGGCCCACAGAACAAGCACACCTTGAGACTTTGCTGGCCGAGCACAGGCTCAGTACTCCCCATGTCTAACTGAAACTATTGAGCTATTTTACAAACGGCATCATTTGGTGTTTGGTGGCATGGTACACTTGTCAAATGTTACTGATAGTTGACCCACTTTGGCTCTGATTGCTAATTCACACTCAGTGTAGGTGACTCAATTGCTGTTAGGTGTGGAGATTGTGACCTAGTATGCTAATGATGGCATTCTGCTGAGGATTCCAAACATGTTTTGACTTGCTCTGCTGCTCGATGCACCTGTAATTTATTTATTTGTTTGTGTTCCTGGTTCATGGTTTTTAATGGAAGATAATGAGAAGTGGAGCAAATATTTGCAGATGTGTTTACCCCGAGCCTTTAGCAGCAGCAGAAACTTGTGGTGCAGGGAAATTAGTAATTTTACATTGGAATAAAAAAGGACCACTGGGTTTAGAGTACCTTGGCTCAGGAGATAGAGTGATTGTCTACTAATTGGGAGGTCAGAAGTTCATTCAGGCCCTTGCAGTCGTTGGGATCAACACAGTGTAGGCTACATGTTAAAGTGTCTGCTTTGAATGCTACTTGTGTTGTGGAGCACTTTAAGTGGTTGCTAGAAAAGTGCTATATGAATGAATCAATTTACACTTTGTACTATATTTCTAAATACAGTTTGTTCAAAGCAAAAATTTTGGTCCCCTGAGGTACATCATCTTTAACCATAATTTATATTTTTGTTCTCAGGCTTTACAACAACGAAATCACAGATGCCGGAGCCAAACTAGTTGCTCGGATAATTGAGGAATGCCCAAAGCTGCGAACTGTCAAGTATGTTTCCAACTTGCACTGATATAAAATGAGAATACTATATTAATTATAATATTTGTAAAATTAAAGGGGAATTCTAGTTTTTTCCAACCTGGGCCCTATTTTTCCCATGTTTTTATATGCAAGTGACTTGTGGGAACAATTTTTGAAATTGGTCCAGTACTGAGAGAGAGAGAGCGTTGCAGTGGCCAAACAGGCTACGATGTAACCACTTGGGGCAGGTCAATTTATGTCCACTTAGAGTTGCTGTTTTTGCCACAGACAGTATCAGATGACCTGTCGCTGGAAGAAAACGGTGGAACAGTTGGAGAGAGGAGTGTCGGGAAGATTTTGTTGTTTTGGAGTACAGAAAGCGTATTTTGGTGTAATCTAAAGAATGTGACATGGCTGAATGTTTGGCTGATTTCAGAACAAGACTTCTCCTTTAGCGAGAACTGTAAACAAAACAGGCCGCAATGGGTCCTTTCCATAATGCTGTAAGACACTCATAACATCTGTCAGTGGCAAAAACAAGCACTCTCAGTCAACATTAATTGCTGGCCGCAGTGTTCTCTCTCAATACTGGTCCAGTTTCAAAAATTGTTGATCTCATCAGTCACTTAGACACAAAAACATGGAAAAATAAGGTCCAGGTTGAAAAATACCAAAATGTCCTTTAAATATGTTGTAGTTTAATGTCTCTCTCTCTTTAGGATTGGTAAAAACAAGATCACCAGTGTTGGTGGGAGGTATTTGGCCAGCGCCATTCAGAAGAGCACTTCCATATTTGATGTTGGGTAAGACTTCATTGCTGTAAAACATCTTTGCTGTTTTAGACCACTTAATGCAGGATATTCTGATCTCGCTGTGCTCACGAAAGCAGTTAGATCAATGGAGAGGCGCCTAGAGAGGACTGATGGAGGAATTTTTCAACTGGTGACAAAAAACATTTTATCAGTATCTCTCAAATGAGACAAAACACTTAACATGTTATCTTGAAAAATAAAATCATGAATTAAATGCAACAATAGAACCCACATTTTATAAACTCTTAGAATTTGCGCATGAAGTCAAAAGTCGCACAGTTCTTGAAATTGAAAAGATGCCAAATTAATTTTCTTTAGGAGGATACTGCTGGCTTAAGTAAGGCAGCTCAGATGACGGTTTTAAGATTTTTGCTTGCAGAATGTGGGGGAACAGCATCGGCGATGAGGGAGCAGAGGCCTTTGCAGAAGCTCTGAAACAGCATCCACGGCTCACCAACCTCAGGTGAGAAGGAGCTACCTACAAAGATGATTAAAAACCTACTGATTCAAACTGGCTGATTAAATTCAGAGTCATTTCTGTGTTTGTGTATTCTAGTCTCTCAGCCAATGGCATCACATCTAAAGGTGGGAAGTGCCTGGCAGAAGCACTGAAAGAGAACAGCGTCCTCAGGATATTCTGGTAGGCAGCTCGCTCAGTTTGAGCCAAGTGATTTTCACAGTTCTAACAGAACGACTCTCTGAACAGAAGTCTGTGTGTGCTGTTGTAGGTTGGTGCAGAATGAGCTGACTGATGACGCAGCTCCTCACTTGGCTGAGTTGATCCAAGCGAACACGGGTCTACTCCACCTCTGGTGAAGAAAACACACGTGCATGAACACACACATCATCTCACCATGGACGAGACCCGTTCAATACCCTGGCCAGACATTGATTTTTAGAAACTCACCTGCTTTGTATATTTGTCTGCAGGTTAATCAGCAACCAGTTCACTGTGGGTGGGATCAAACAGCTTGCTGAGGCCCTAACTCACAACACAGCACTCAAAGAGATATGGTGAGGATCAAGTATAATTCACGGTGACTTTCAGGCCTTTTCTTTTTCTCTAACAGCCTCCAAATAGTGGGGACCAGCTGTTTTTAAAGGAGTTGCTGTTTTGTAGTCTTTCATCTGTGGTAACAGTGCTGCACACCACATATGACAATAACAGGATAATACTAAATACTTTGAGCTAGCATAACAATTGTACAAGACAAGCAGAGAAGAGCCATAAAGTCAGTAAACTGACACAACACTAGCCACCACAAGCTATGGTCGCACCACACTAAGACCAAAGCTGAAAAATGATTTTTTTGCTTTTTGATTTTGATTTTCTTGCATATATTTAACTTAGTAGGAACCAGTTAATCATCTTGCTCACATTGGTTGTTACCTTGTGCACAAAAGATAATAGGCTAACTTGTGCACACTAGATAATAACTTGTTCCCACAAAAATATTTACTGGAGCACCCAAGATAAGAATTGTTCCCACAAGATAATTAAATCATGTGCACAAGATTGTTCCCATGACATAATTAAATTGTGCACACAAAATAATGATTTGTTCCCACAAGGTTATAAACTTGTGTGCACAAAAAACGTCCAACAACACACAAAAAACCCATCCCCTTTTAAGACTTTAGGGGCTCTGTAGTGTTTCCTTTTGGAACAAACGGGATATTATTATTTAAGGTAGAATAGCTGGTAGGATTCATTGAGTGGCTATAATCAATGTTATTAGTTGTACATAATGACAATGTGGAAGCATTATGAAAAGTTGCTTGTAGTGATGATGCAGTGAGTTTCAGCTCATAGTTTATCTCTGCCTTAACTTCAGTGTTCTGATTCACTCACAGCTTGTAGTGTTGTCTTTAGCTCCACATGGCAGCAACAAAACATCTGTAATTAGTCACTGTGCACTACCTGGTCAGCTGCATAAAGCTGGCAGACACAGTTGGTGACCAGCTTGTTAACATGGTTGAGCATTTAGCAACTAAAAAGAGATTTTTCACAGGAGTTTGTAGAGACCAAAAACAGAGCTAAAAGAGAGTGAATATTGGCCTCACATTCATCAGGTGGATGCAGGGACCACTCCACATGAATATCCTTGTTGCTCTGTAACTGCTGGATGTGGAAATAAGCAACTGTTTGCTTTTTTTATTCCAACCAGTCTATGGAAAAACCTGAATTCAAGTGAATGTGTCCTTAAGGACAATTAGGTTTGGAGTTGCTGAACATAAATATAAACATAAATAGGCTACTTATATTTAATTCAGTTATGGTGTTGCATTGGGAAGCATGTGTCCTACATTTTACTGTGTTTTTTAATCAGACATTAGTTACTCACTGTAGCTGTAGAGGTAATCAGGGTGACAAACCCTTCACAGCATCAGAGCCATTTCCATGGGTATTCCCTTTGGCGCATGACTGTGTTTTGAACTTGAATGAATGTCTGATGGTGTCTGATTGTGTTTCTGCAGCGTGAAAGGAAACCAGCTCTCTGAGGAGGAAGAGAATCAGTTTGTGGAAGAGAAAAGGCTGCGGTTCCACTGACTGGGCACTCACGTGAGACGTGCATGCACTGAGTAATGTCGGCATGGCAGAAAACGTGTACTGTAGTATGTGTTCACTGTATGAATGCAGAGTGTTAGCAAACTGATTTGGTACAGTATGATTGAGTATGTATGATTTCAGCTGAGTGTAACTGTGTGGCTGTGGGCACAAAGTCTGATGTTAGATACTGTATATTCATCATATCATTCATTGTTGATGAAACCATTTTTGCGCTGAGAAAACTTTTTCATGTTGGGGATGTTTTGCTGTAATTTTGACCAAATATCTGACATGACGACTGTTACGGAAAAAAGGAAGTGGAAGCACTGATGATGAAGAGGGAAACAAACCAAGGACTTCCTTCTTCATGAACCTTTGTAGAAACATATGGCGTATATTTTGATTTGTATACATACGAACAATAACTTTATTGTTTCACACGTCGCTGATGGAATGTATTGAGGTGTACTTCAGTGTAAATGATGTTTACTGTTTGTTTGATACTTTGTGGCAACTGGATCCAGAAAAGAATGTATTTTATTGAGTGACATCAGTGTATGAATAACTCCTGATGGACAGTGCTGGTGGTGAAAAGGCTGATGGCCTCTGGTGATGGATGACAGGACATAGAGCTAAGCTCAGTAAAGATGATTTCCCTTTCGTTGCTTTCTTAATTCTCTCTGACGTGTTTGCCTCTATGGATCTATGTCACAGCTGACATTTGAACTCGTTGTACAGGAACAGCGCAGGTGGAACTTATAAAATGAAATATGGCTCCGTTCCAGTAATCTAATGTATGACAGTTTGCCAGTATGAACTGTAGCAACACCCTGAAACATCCACACACCTAAATGGAAGGCAGCCAGTTTTCAGGATTCAAATTACACCTGCACTATCTCTGCTATATTTCAAAACGTCTGATGTAAAAAAATCCAAAAAAACAGGCCTGTTATTCTGCTTCAGTACAATATATAAGGCAACTCCTTCCTGGTTAATGTCATCCACACCTACCCTTCCTCTCACACAGGACCACTAATCATCATCCACTGTTTAAGGGGTACATAGAGCGCTTGTCACTTCCTTTACGTGCCCATGTGACCAGTTGGGCTGTTCACACTAAAAGTGCCTGCTAGTGATCCGCAGCAACAGTTTCAGCTGTCTGTTTTTTTCCACGAGCTGAGAGTGAATCTGGCAAGAAAACACACATGTAAAGGATCTGATTCCAATAAATTATAGAATATGCATCTGTTGGTTACTTTTCCACATACATATATGTCAGTTGTGTATGAACAGGGAGCAGTGGCATGAGCACACTCACACAAGCAGAGAGAGAGAGAGAGCTCTATGTGTGATTAGAACTTCACTGAACTTTGACTAAGCTGTGTGTATGATGGATTTGAATTTAGAGAAAAATAGGTAAAATAGGACACTTTTAGGTTTACTAGATGGCCCAAAAATAAAATGGCAAAAATGCAATAAATACAAGAGAATGGTTGGTATCCAAATGATCCACTCTTAATAGCTTTTTGTAGGTAGTTTTGCAGAAAATAAATATTTTAACATGTTTTATGTTTGTTGTGATTTCCTGTCTTTGTCGGTGACATATTAAACAGCAAACTGTCTCTGTTACGTTACATTAGGTAGATTGATCCTAAAGGAGCTCATATAGCTGAGGTTTCTACTGTTTTTTTTCCCCGTTAAAGGGGTTTTTTTGGGGGAGTTTTTCCTTATCTGCTGTGAGGGTCTTAAGGACAGAGGGATGTCGTATGCTGTAAAGCCCTGTGAGGCAAATTGTGATTTGTGATATTGGGCTTTATAAATAAAATTGAATTGAAATTGAATTGAATATAAGGCTTATCTTCAGACTGCATCCTCAGTGCCTCACGTACTCCAAGTACAATTCAAAGACGAAACACTCTGTTAGTCGCTCCCAAACCTGAGCCAATACATCACTGTGTTTCTTTGAAATCACTGTGCTGCGGCTCAAATGCAAATAACTGTATACAGGGGGTTTCCCACTGCATGTGCAAATAGAGGAAAGCCCAGCCAGATGTGGTGGGTGTGGTGGTTGCAAAATAAAATGTTTGTGTCAACATAGTGTATAACAGAAGAATGTGACAGGTGCAAGAACAATATACTGTGACCGGCTCTGTATGGATGGGATAATAGTGTTAAACCAATGTGTATCTTTTAGTTGAAATCACCCTTTCTTCTACCCCTACAAACTGATTAGAAAAATGCTCTCCTATCAAAGACAAAAAAAACCACAAGGTGTTCTTACTTGCTGTTAATGAAGCTTCCTCTGTGGGCTGAGTTGCTCATTTGTCATGGATTTGGTTGAGTCCATCCACTGAGGACGCTCAAGAGACATCAAGTAAGTGGATGAGGAATAACCTTCCAAAATGTTCTTGCACCACCAAATTTAAGCTTTTCTAAAATCCTACCTTTCTGTTTAAGGTATTATTTAAAGGATGAGGTGAGTATTTTTCAACCTGGACCCTATTTAACCATGTTTTTGTATCTGACTAATGCGAAAAACAGTTTTTGAAATTGGTCCAGTATTGAGAAAAAATGCTGCAGATGGTAGTGGTCATACAGACTGCAATGTTTGCACTGTCAATGCACACCCACTAAAATACTTGTTTTTGCCAATTTCTGTTTATTTAAATGTAGTCAGGTGGGTCTGGCGATGGGGATTTTAGCACTGTTTCTGGTTAAACAAAAAAGATCTTGCTTTATAACGAATAAGTCTATTTTCCATAAGTTTGTAAACACTTATATAACAATCTAAACCTGTCAGTGGCAAAATGAAGACCTTATACTAAAGAGCCAGAGCCAAGAATTACCCGTGTCTACTATAGAGTCACTTGACCTGCGTGTGAATGCCAACTGTGACCTTCCCGTTACATTAAAAAGCCAGATGTGAGCGGAGGTTAGCAGGTTTTTTGTGCAGTGGAAAAGGAGCTTTTGTAAACTGATGGTGTTAACAGGCCCTCAATGGTTACATTGCAACCTCTTTTACGGCTGGTGGTTGCAGTGCTCTCTCTCAATACCGGACTGATTTCAAAAATTGTTGTTCCTGATATCCACTTAGACACAAAAACATAACAAAATAGGGTCCAATTTGTCTTCATTTTTTTAATCACAAATTAAAAAGTTTTATCTTTTCTCCTCTGCAAGGTTGATGAGTCATTGTGTTATTGCAAACAGCTATTCAAAACACAACAATAAAACAATCAAGAACCACGAGGACAGGCGGTTGAATGTCATCATCATATCTATTAAGGCCAGATCTGTTGCACTTTTCCTCTAAAATTCACAGACAGAAAACGATATTACTGGTCAGTGTCAAACCTTTGTAGGATCAGTCATGAAAATGATGAAAAATAATAACTGAGAGCGGATTAACGTGAGAGATGAAGGTAGAGAATGAGCCCTGTGAGATCAGTCAGCAAAATGTTCAGACTATTGCTACAAACAGAGATGATGAGGAGAGTCCTCACTGCTCCCACCTCCACACACTGCAGAGGAAAACTACATGACTCTGTAGCACCGCTGTGTGCTGGGACAGTGTATTACAGGGCTCAGATAATCTCTGTGAGGCTGTCAGGTTTTACATACACAGTATGGTGACGCAGTAGTCATGAGTGTGTTAGGGTGGATCCCAAAACTCCAAAGCTTACTCAGTTCTTCCTTTAGTGGTTCCAAATAAAATGATCAATACTGATAAGATAAGTTAGGTCTACTCATCAGCAGATGTGTGTTTTAGAGGATTTTCAGGTAGCTTTAACTCTCATAGTTTCCTAGTAATGTTCTACATGTAGCATGGAGTTTGATGTATGGTGCAGAGAGTGAGTAATGTGTCACACTGAACCCAGGTCAGTGTCTGACAGGAGAGGTTGTGAGGGAGTGGAGGAAAGAAGTGGATTTGGGATTCAGCAGCAAAGGTCCACTGACCTGGAAAACCAGCTGCTCTGTTGATTGGTTGGAAAAAAGCCTCCATACACATGTGCTTGGATGGTTGGATACCGCTTATTTATACTGTATTCTCTATCCCAAATATTTATGAATTGACTCATTGAGATGTCTAATACTGCATGTGTGTTTAGGAGCATTACAGCAGTAGTGGTGAGGGTTCTTCTTTTTCAAAATAAAGCTCCAGCTTTATTTTTCCTCACCTTTCCCCCACTACCATGTGCTCCTACCTGGAGGTAACTTCAAAGAGACAAAGAGAGAAATGCATTGGAAAAAAAAGAGTAAGAAAAAGTGGAGTCCATATGGGACACTTCATCTTTCATTCCAGCCCAGTCGCCAGGAGAAAATGTTGGCATTGTGCGTTTCCGCAAACCATGAATACAATATATTTGCATGTTATACATATCATATCAATGTTTCTAAGGTGACGTAGTATATGAGCTGACTTTGTTATCAAGAGGCAGAGTGAATGGTGGATAGTGTGTAACCTAGGAGAGAGGGGATGGTGGATGTCGTGTTACCTACTGTAGGAGAGAGGGGATGTGGATAGAGTGTCACCTAGGAGAGAGGGTATGGTGAATAGAGTGTCACCTAGGAGAGAAGGGATGGTGGATGTCATGTCACCTAGGAGAGAGGGGATGGTGGATGTCGTGTCACCTAGGAGAGAGGGGATGGTGGATGTCGTGTCACCTACTGTAGGAGAGAAGGGATGGTGGATGTCGTGTCACCTAGGAGAGAGGGGATGGTGGATGTCGTGTCACCTACTGTAGGAGAGAGGGGATGTGGATGTCGTGTCACCTAGGAGAGAGGGGATGGTGGATGTCGTGTCACCTAGGAGAGAGGGGATGATGGATGGCGTGCGACCTAGGCGAGGCACCTGCCAAGCTGCAGACCATTGTTTGAGACCTACAAACAACAAAATCTGTTGTGACTTACCAAGTCATTGCTGTGTTTCCAGTTTAATTTTTTTAACACCCAAATGTGGGTGTTTTTAGCAAACCTCGGCTGTTTTTCCAGCGGGGATAGTGCCATGAAATGCAGTTATCTTTTACTGATATATCTCCATGTTTTCAGCCTGGATTGTGTCTAAACCCAACCACACATTAGCCACAGCGCGGGGAAACGTAAAGGGTCAGTGTATCCGTTACATAATAACATACAAATATAATGTATCTGTGGTTTACAGGAACGTATAATGCCAACATTTTTTCTGGCAATTGTGTTGCTCATTTACAAACATTTTGAATGAAAACTTCATCATGCCCGCCTTAAAAACCTCCATAAGAAGCTGAGATTCCACAGGATTGCCTTTAAAGTCGCTGTTAATGTTACAGTGAAGCAGCTCATTTGTTTTTCCAGTATAAAAATAGTCTTCAGGGTGGTGGGACGAGCATTAGGCTCTGCGTAATGGAAAAAGGGAGTTGGTGGAGATAAAGGATTCCATTGTAGCTTTGGGATCTGCACTTGGTGATTTCACTGATGAGTTCATATTCTCTGGTGGATGATGAGCTTGTCGATGAAATCATCTGTGATCGCTTTCTACTAGATTAAAAATCTGTACACATTAGCTCCTCCATGGTAGAGGTCTTCAGGCAAACCTGAGCCCATGAAAGCCTTAACTAACACATTGGTGGTGTTAAAAGTCCACTCATTCAGTGTCCCTCAGTCCTTGACCAACTTAACTTAGTGCTGGGTCTGTATGCTGCCTGAACCCGAGACCAGTCTGTTGTAGTTGAGTCGACCAATCACCAGCCAAGCAAGTCAATGACTTCCTGCAGGACGACAACCATAGAAACTTCTCCCATAACCTGTACATAACAGGTTTAGTAGAACAAGTCTGCAGTTCCAACTGGTATGCACTCAAGTAACTGTGACAAGCACAGGTGTCTCTGCTGATTCCTTCCTCTGTGTGCAGGCTCGGTCATTATCACAGTCCAAGCTTTTTTAAACACATACAGGAAGCAGTGTCATGTACACAAAATTAGAACTTTTCAAACACTGTCAGAGAAATGGAACCTGCAGAGTTGAGTACAAGGAAACTGTGTGGGATCACATTACAGTCCCCCTGGGGAGTTATTGTTTACATTCACCAAAAATGTGCAAATCCTCCGGCCCTGACAAATGTAATGAATACATTTCCTTTCTCATGAATACAAAGCCTGCCTTGGTTACTTTCATATTTACTGCCTTTGCTGGTGCATTGCTGCATATCTGCCCAACCCAGTTGCAAGAACAAATGTTGGCACTGTGTGTTTCTACAAACCACAAATGTTACAATTGCACCTTTCATACATATCATATTTCTAAAGTGATGTAGTATATGAGGTGACTTTGTCTTCAGGGGGAGGAGGGGATAGAGGATGGCATGTCCACTCAGTGAAATGCCTGCCAAGCTGCAGGTCACTGTTGGAGACTGACAAACGACAAAACCTGTTGTGTCCTGGTGAGTCATCGCTGTGTTTCGAGTAGCTTTTTAGCCAAAAAATGTGGGTGTTCTTACGCGACCTGTCACTGTGTTGCCTTCCTGTGCAACAAAAAGTAGTTGTTTCTTACCGAGACATCGCTGCTTTCCCAGAGGTAACTGTGCCACCAAAACTGGGTACTTCTTTTCCTGACCATAACCAAGTGTTCCTGTTCAGTCGATTGGTACAACACATATACTATGGGATATCACACCCCTTGTGACCTACCTGAAGACACTTCTATTCACGCCTATTAAATCAGATGACCTGTGGTGACGTATGTGAGGCCCCGCCCACACATATGTATATACACATCCATCACCACAGTCATTCTTCAGTTCGATAGCTGCTCTTCACCAAGCCCAGCTGCACAGCAGGGTTGTATCTTGTTCCTCTCCTTCAGGTAACAGAGGTTATAGTCATAACATTTCTGTTTTTGTGCCTAAACCTAACCACACATTAACCACAGCGTTGTTAAAACGTAATGTTTAAATGGATCAATTTATCCACTACATAAAAACCTACAAATGAAATGTGTCCGTGGTTTTTAGAAATGGAAGATGCCAACATTATATCTGGCGACTGGGCTGTATTGCCACCTGCAGATCAGTGGAACAGTGAGACATCATTGGCAGGAATGTGCATCATGTTGCCTATGTCGCCTACATCCTTGCGTCCTACACAAGACAAAACGGATACTCACTCACAGAAAAACTGTGTCATAGCACTACAAAAGGATTATGGAAAAAGTAGAGAATAAAACAATGAAATTAGAAATTTGGATTTCAAGTGGATCTTTTTGCTGCACAAAAATACTTCTATCTACATTAGGTTTTGTTTTATTTTTTTTAATTAAAAAAAAAATAAATCTAGATCTCATTTTCATTCTTCATTAACATATTAAACCCATTCTGCTCTCCATCTGTATGACAGTGTTTGATTTGTGGTAATCCTGTGCACCTGACACTGCTGACCTGTTTTAAAGACTGATAATCAGTGAACCTGCACACTGAGGAAACAATCAATTGTAGCAACTTAAATGATTGATCAAACGCTATAATTAATACACAGCCTACATAAACGACTACATTACAGACATTATGAAAACAAGAGAAGCTTTTACCCCATGGAGTAGCACAAAGCAAAATAGACAAAAAAAGAAATGAAAAACACATTTTCACTTTCTGGTCTGTGTAAAAATGTTTCTGGTTATGAGATCCCGTTCATGTTATAAAATTATACTTTTTTTTGCTGTAACTAAAAATCAAGTTATTTCATTTTAAGAACAAACTTTTCTTGTTATAACATGTCAATTTATCGTGTTATATCACAAAACTTGCCTGTTATTATAAAAAAATCAACAAAACTTTTTAAACAAGAACAGTTTCTCCTCATAACAAGTTCTCAGAGAAACTTGCTTGCATCATGTCATTATAACAAGAAAAGTATCATGTTACAAAGTGAGAGGGATCTACAAGTGGTTACATATTTGTATGTCATGGTAGCAGCGATACTCTACTGTAGGCTCAGGCTGGTAAGTCAAGGATCCATTTCAGATTTGGAGGCAGGTTTTTGTACCTGAAGACCTCTACTCCATGGTATATGATTAAAAAGCACTGATGATTGAGTGTGAGTGTTCGACGATATTCACAGTTGATTGGCACCATTGTTTGCAGCAGCTTCAGTTTTAAAAATGTCCGAGCTGCTTACGCAGACAGATATTTCTGCCGCTGTCCTGTCTCTGGCTTGTTTCTCCTGGACTGGTAGAATGGCAGTTGTGGTGAGATGGTCCCGCAAGTCCGTCCAGTTGGTCCAGCTGGCTCTGCTGACAGTCTGGACTCCTCTGTCCTGCCCTGTCGTGGCTGGGCATCATAACAACAAGGCACTGGTAGACACTGATGCTGAAGGAGGAGGGGAGGGACAGAGTAAGAGGGGGAGGGATAATCCACGCATCGCCCGACTCACCCCCCCCTCCACCCCGCCCCCACCTCCAGGACCATGTCCACCACCTCCTCCAGTATCCTGGTGTACAATCAGCTGACATGTGCTGTCCAATGGCCACTCAGGAAGAAGAGCCCTGCCTGCCACAACGTCCTGTGTGGCTTTGAGTGTCAGGGCTGGAGAGGATGTGAGGTGGAGATCAATCCATCCAGTCTGAGACTGAGCGTAGATGTGCAACTCAAACATAAACACAAAAGTCTGTATCCCTGAAGATTGCTTAAATGAGATTTGGCACACAGTGGTACTACATTATTGGGTGGGGTGGGGGTGGGGGTTAAACTGATCACAGTGTCCAGCAGTCTCCCTGGATCCACACATCATCTTGTAGATCCCTCACATTGTTGAGTACCTGTCAGCACACAACCAACAGAGGATATTAAATAAAAAGCAATTAAAAAGTATTAAAAAAAACATCCTACAGTGACTATCAACCAAAAAAAATCTGGTATGTTTGGAAACAATTTACCTGTGCAAAAAAAGCTTTAATCTGATGGATGCTCCGGACATGATCTGTTTACTTCAAACCACTCATCAATACAGCTGGGAAAAAAAGCATGGAAGAAGAGATGAGTAACAGCAGAGTGTGAAACAGTATACAGTATACGACAGCTCATCAAATCCTGGATCTGTCGACACCTAGTGGAGAAGGGTGGTCATGTCAAATGTGTTTTTATAAGACAGTACATACAGTATTTGCATTTGACATGGATTTTGTCATAGCTACACACACACACACACACACACACACACACACACCATATATACAGTGTGTGGCAAGAAGAATAAATCCGTCACACAGACTGCTCAGCTGGTTGGTGTTCCAATAGGAACAGTGACTAAAGTGACATCTGCCTTTAAAACTATGGGAATACGTCAGTAAACAGGGTCGGAAAATTGTGGTTGACCTTGCACATTTAATGAGCGTAATGCTCATACATTAGTGGGATATGTAGGAACAAGAATTACTGCTATCTGTCCAGATTTACATAAAAGTGGACAATGCTTCAAATATAAATGTTGCTGCAAGAGTAGCTACAAATTCCATAACATGGATCCTTCACACACATCTTCCCCCTGGCAGCACAGAAGATCTATACAACCAGCACGGTTTCAAGGAGGACACCCAAGATTTGTGTTACCAATTCAGTATCAGTTGACCTTTGACCTTTTGGATCTAAAATGTCATTGCAGCATCATTATATCCTATTGGATATCTGTGTGAAATTATGTCAAAATCATCACATTTAGTCAGTTATAGCTAAAAACATGGTTTCTTAGGTCACAGTGACCTTTGACCACCAAAATCTAATGTACGTTTGTGCCAAATTTGAGGAAATTCCCTAAAGGCGTTCTTGAGATATCGCATTCATGAGGAAGAGACAAATGGACAGACAACCCAAAAACATCATGCCCCCAGCCACCGCTGTCAGCGGCTCGGATGCATTCAAAACAGAAGAGCAACTCTTCCTCAGGTGACTGAGAATGTCAATGCAGGACGTGATCAGACTGTGTCAGCAAGAACAGTCCCTCGACAGTTACATAGACAGGAATATCATAGTACAGCTGCAGTGCATAAACCCCTCATTACAAAGATGAATGCACATTTGAGAGTTCAGTGGTGCGAAAACCGTAGTCACAGCTTTACAGAGATGTGGGGAAAAAATGATATGATCAGATGAGTCATCCTTCGCCACAGTCTCGACAAGTGGGTGAGTGCATATGCGGCATACACCAAGAGAATGGTACAGGCTTAAATGTTTGACCCCCTACAGTGAAGGCATCCTTTGGCTCTGTTGTGCTGTGGGGAATATTTTGCTGGCATGGTTTGAGTCCAATTGACCCCTTAGAGAAGGGGTCTGCAACCTTTGCCATTAAAAGAGCCATTTTTGACCAAAAATAATTTGAAAAAATCTGTGTGGAGCCGCAAAACATGTTTGAGCCTTATAATCAAGGTAAATAGCCTATTAAGTCTAAATTAGCGTATACTTATGGTCTAAATAAGCATTTGTTAATATGTTTTACCACAAGGTGGACACTGTGCAGGGCACTAATAATTATTATCTGGTACTTAAATTTTGCAGAGCTGGCAGTGACAGCAAACAAATCTGTCCACGCACTACTGCATTCTCTATTTTATTCAATTTACTTTTTTGGATTTGGCATCCATAGCTAACCAGCCACTGCTATCGAGGTTCAGCAACATTTGGATTCATAGAATGAATTTCCATAGACTTCTTTTCTCAAAGGCTCAAGGAGCCACTGGACAGGGGCTAAAGAGCCACATGTGGCTCCGGTGCCACAGGTTGCCTTCCCCTGCCTTAGAGGAATCAACACAAATTTGTTCTCAGTGATCACCTTTATCCTGTGATGAAACATGTCAATCAATGTCCCATCCATAGGGTACGAGGGTTCCTTCTGCATTTTGGACATCTGAACACAAGTGGTGGACAGCCAACACACATTGCCCTTCATGTGTCTATCATGAGTCTCTACATGACCACTTGTGTTTAGATTTCGTTAACTTCCTACGTCAGTTATGCTAGAGGGTCAAAGGGCTCAAGGATGCATAACTGTTTACACTACCAAAGATATGTCGTCAAATGTGTGCTTGACCATCTTAGCAAATGGTTTGAGTGATTGGATCACAATGCATCTTGGTGGTCATATAAACTTGTATTTAGCGCCATCCACTTGTGATCATATAACCTAAGACACGTTGACAACATGTGTAAACCGGCTCTAAGTGGTTTGATGAGTATGAAAATTATATAAATCATATGCTACGGCCTTCACAGTCACCAGATATCAACCCATTGAACACCTATGGGAGATTCTGGAACGACAATCAAAACACCAAATAAGAGACTATCTTTTAGAAGTATGGTGATCACCCCTCCAGTAGAGTTCCAGAGACTTTTAGAATCAATGCCAAGCCACACTGAAGCTGTTCTGATGGCTCGTGGTGGCCTAACACCTTATGTTGGGGGAAGCTTGGTCAAATCATGGTAGGAAAGTAATGTAAAAGAGACTAAGACCAAGAAGATACCCACTTGATTTGTCCAACTCAGACAGCTCAAGCCTCATGTCAACTTCTGATAAACTTGGGAGTTCATGCTTGGCACATGGGAGAAGATTCAGCTGGATGCAATCTGCAATCCTCAGCGCTAGATGCCATTAAATTCTACCCACTGCTCCTTTATCATAATTATACCATATTTACCCTAATGGAAATGTAAGCACTTATATTTCAATAATGGAGGAAGAGCACTCAAGTACATCTCTCACATATGGAGGTAAAGAAAAAAGTAATGCAGCATTTTTTTTCTTCAAAATGGAGCCTCATACCCTTTGTGGTAGATGCAGAGGCAGGGCAGGCGAGCGATGGTGTCTCCCTGTACCAGCTCCTCCAGGCAGATTGCACATTCTCCTGCATCCTTGGTCAGGACATCCTCTGTAAGACAGCAGGCATATTACACTATAATCATCAGTACACATCACAGGGCCCCTTCATAACAAAAAAACATTCAAACTCTTATATTCTTACTGACAAGACATATGAGTTTACAGATATACAGGACAGACAGTCTTTTTATTAACAAGACTAAAATTCTAAAGATCCAAAGGAGGTGTGCCACTTAAAAGTCACCATTACACTGTTTTTACTAGTAATCTTTGGCAGAGAAGTGTATTGTTTGGATAAGACTGATAATGTTATCACAACTTTTTATTCATTAACCAAAATCTTAGGGATCTTGTTTTAATTAGTTTGATTTGATTTATTTGAAAAATAATGTAGTCCAATATATCAATTATGAGATTTGTATTTCTTGTAAACTGAAACTGACACTGGTGTCTGTCTCCAACATAAAGTATCAAGCTCTCTCTACTTTTTTTTCCTCTACTTAAAACATAATATCTAACTTCAGGACGGAGGTTGAGGAAAGCCCACAAGGTCACTGACATCAAAAGAGTAATTGTCCCACTAGATTACGACGTCTTGTGTGCAAAGTTCACATCTGCTCCTGGGGGTTGTGCCGAGGCAGAGCTCATGGAGTTCCCTGGCAACAATGAATATCCACAGCAATACTCATGGTTAACTGTTGTCAAGGTACAGTATGTCACAATGAATAAAACGGAAGGATCCATTACATCCATGTCCAACACACATCCTCAGGCTCCACCATCATATATTAAACACAAGGAGAACAAAAACTCCATGTCTCTGTTATTCAAGATACACAGATTTTTATTTTATTTTTTTTTTGTGAATCATGAACTGAAAATCAGATTTTGTATAAGACTATAGAAACGAGATGATAAATACATCCTAGCAAAATATATTAAGGTAAGATTAGACTTTATTAATCTTGGGGGTGGGTAAAATAAAAACAAGCAGCAATAAATGGGCCCTCATAGCTTCGCCTGTATGAAGGGTACTGGCAGGATACCTGTCATGGTTGTGCATTTCAAGGAAGTCGGACAATCCATGCAGCAGTTAACAGGTATTTCCTGCATAGAGTGTAAGGTGCTGAAAATAATGTATTGCAAAGTTTGTACCAGTTCTTGTGTCCACTGTGTGGTGCTAGAGAACACACATTAGTTAAACCTCATGTTGCTGTATACCGAGACCAACTGAGGCCTTCCACGCATTAGGCGACGCTATGGAGCCAGCTAAACACGCATGAACCCAATCACTGTATATTCTCCTAATGCTCCTAGGTTTCCATGCGTGTACTAAGTTTCATAATTTTTTTTTTTTCCTTTAATAAACCAAGAATGTCAAAAATGTGTTCAAAGGCTACAAGTGATTGGGGGGCGTTATAGAGCAGACATGCCACACCCAGGCTCAATTATACCACCAAATCCAAATAATTACTAGTTTGAACATGGGTGCAACGTTTTGTGAGTTTTTATGCATCCTAAAATCCTCAAACATGTTTGTAAAATTAAAATGAACACATGAAATCCAAGATGGCTGACTTCCTGTCAGGTGGAAAAAAAAATAATTAAAAAAAGGTTCAGGCTCTTGAGGATGAGACCAATAATTCACTGAAATTTCATGAACATCAAAGGAACTTTATGCCAACAGTGGTGTACATTTGGGGGCGCCTGAGCGTGGTCACTGCAGAATTTTGCAATTTTTCGTTGGTTCTGATGTGTGTGCCAATCTTCGTTAGTTTTTCAGCATCCAAAGCCACTCAAAAATGCAACTACGGGGTAGACGAATGACAATCTCCACAGAAACTGTGGGTTTCTCGTACATTCAGCGTCAAGGACCGTTGGGCCCTGGCACTTTCGTTCCAAGGCCCTAATAACAAATTAAGTAAATTAGAGAGATGTCATTAAAAAGCTGTATACCATATATACATTACATTACCTTAAAATATGTAAGAGAATTGTGCAAGTCTTTGTGGAAAAGCAACCCAAAATCCACCTTTGCAATATGTGTGACAGTAATATTATAGCTGTATACATATAAGTATGTAACAAAGTAATAAATACAATATGCATGCAGTATGCACATGCAAAACTATATATTTATATATAAAATATATGAGTAGCATATGTACTACACACAAACAATACAATTGGTATGAATCATGTGCATATGTCAGATATGTTACCACTACTTTTTCTATTATTTCCTTAGTAATAATACAGACAGTATAGGTGTATTGTTGTACTTGAAGATCACATCTTCACCACTACCTTATAATGTTGATGAATGCTCAAGTTACATTTCTGGTATTTCCAAAATATCCCTGAAGGCAGCATTTATTTGTTAGCTCACTTTTAAATCTTTTCCTATCAGTGTTACTACACTCAGTCTGGGTTGAATAGTCACCAGGAAACTCAGCCCCTGTTTACCGTCTGCGCATTAACAGTGTGTGTATGTGTGTGTGTGTGTGTGTGTGTGTGTGTACACACTCAGCAGTATTCATCTTTTCCTGCTGTGCATAACATTGGTCTGGGTCTAAAGTGGAAGTCAGTGTGTGCACCATTAAACCTATCACCTGCAGCAAAACACACAGTCATTAGGACTGGCCTTATGTAACAGTGGATTAACCCACATACGCCCAGAAAAGCTAGTTATTATGGGCTGCAGCACATGGCATCCAGCTCAGCTGAGGGGAAAACATGTCCTAATGTACTGACTGTGCCAGTCAGTCAGTTGTTCATTCACACAGTCAGACACAGACAGAAAGTGAGATGATAATGATACTGACGTATGGTGCAGATATCAGCTTTGTTAAAAATGTTTGTTTTCGCTGCTGAGCATTAATACTGTCCACACCCTGTCAGTACACACACCAGAAGATACAGCGAGACAGGAGGTGTCTCGAATCCATAAACAGACAGTTTCGCAGGATCACATGATTCAGATTCATTGCAAAAGGAAGAGCTGTAAGACTATGAATACATTTTGTCTGAGCATTACAAACACCCCAAACTAACTGTATTTATCAGAATTTGAACCATTTGTTTCAATAAAATTTGGAAAGCCTAGAGGAGTTGTCTGTTATTTTTTCATGTCATGAAATATTATTTATGCCATTCATGTGTGCAGGGAGTCAGCGGGAGGTCAGCTGGCTTGGCCAGAGAAAGTTTGTAATACATTTGTGATCAACTGATTCTGCCAGAAAAACTTCAACTTTCGTTCAGTGCCTTGTGTGCAAATGTTACGATGCCCGGAAATCAGGATGTGATTAGCCTAGCCTAGTTTATCATAAAGACTGGAAGCAAGAAGAGGTGATAGTAGATATGTTTTTGAACTTGGGACAGAGCCATGCTATCCGACTCCCCCGTTTCAAGTCTTTATGCGAAGCTAGGTTAATCATTTCCTGAGAGTAACAGTTATCTTTCCATCGCATTCTCAGAAAGGAAGTAAATACACTTGTTTCCTGTAGATCATGTATTCTTGTCCACAGTTGCGTTTTTACACATTGAAACTAAGTGGGGAACAAACCTCTAAGACACAGAAGTTTAGGTGGTTTTATGCTCCCAAATGTGAAATGAAATGTATAATGTGGCCTTAAGCGGGGTTCATACTCGTGCCCAGTTCTATGCAGAGCCTACAACATTGGGAGCATTTATACTTGTGTGGTGTCTTGTGTTGTGTGTCTGTGTGACTCTCCAGTTCCACCTCTCCAATACTAGTCGGCGGTGGGGTTTCTGTGAAGGCTGTTAAGTTTAGTGGATTGAAAACACACCCAAAACACACATTTAACATGGCATTTTAAATTGTATAAATTAGCCTAGCAGCTAGCAGAGATTTCCTCTACTCATATGAAGCCAGGGACAACAGCAACATTTAACAAAGGTAAAGTCACAAAATTCTGCTAAACTACAGTTCACAAGGTTCACAGACAATACAACGCTCTTCAATTAAAGGGACAGTGCACTCAAAAATGAAAATTCAGCCATTATCTACTCACCCATATGCCGATGGAGGCCCTGGTGAAGTTTTAGAGTCCGCACATCCCTTGCGGAGATCGGCGGGCGGAGCGACTAGCACACCTAATGGCAGACGGCGCCCCAGACTAACGTCCAAGAACACAAAATTGAATCCACAGAGTACCTCCATACTGCTCATCCGTAGTGATACAAGTGTGCTGCAGCCCCGACATAAAAAGTTGTTTCGAAAAACGTCATTTGAACTCTGTTTTTAGCCTCACTGTAGCCTGTAGCTCTGACTTCTTCTCTGTGCTCCGCGCTCACGTGTGCGCGCCTGCACGAGACCAGCGAAAGCATGAGCTTTGCTCACCCTTGTTTACATCATGTGACCCGTGCACCGCAGGGAGAGACAACAGTAACCACAGTAGCTAAAAGATCATTTGCACTACGGTCTTTTAGCAAAGGACAGCCCAACATGTCTGAAGACTATGAAACTGAGGAGGAACAGCATTTCTTTGTTGAGCCGTAGTTGATTGAGCCCGAGTATACGCACGGAACTCAGGCTACTGGACGAAGCAGCCGCCGCAGCTCATGAGCCTAACCCTCAGCCAGCTGCAGAATACTGGAGTCGAGCACTGGAAACCTGGTGGTGTAGTTGTTTCAAATGCAAAGCATTCCTTGGATGAGGAAAGTCTTTGCTGCTCAGACTGGGAATTGGCGATGCCTGCACTTGAGAATCTGGACATCAGTACTGACGAGACTGCTGCTCTTCAGAGATCACAGATCACCCTGAGCACGCGCACACGTGAACGCGGAGCACAGAGAAGAAGTCAGAGCTACAGGCTACAGTGAGGCTAAAAACAGAGTTCATGTGACGTTTTTCGAAACAACTTTTTATGTCGCGGCTGCAGCACACTTGGATCACTATGGATGAGCAGTATGGAGGTACTCTGTGGATTCAATTTTGTGTTCTTGGACGTTAGTCTGGGGCGCCGTCTACCATTAGGTATGCTAGCCACTCCGCCCGCCGATCTCCGCAAGGGATGTGAGGACTCT